GAGAACGAATCGTCGTCGTCCTCCGATTCCAGCTTGAGCGGATCGAGCTTGGTCTCATCCACGGCGGCTTTTTCTGAAATCGCGTCGGCCTCCGCCGGCTCGTCCAGCAAGTCGTCGATATCCAGGTCGGCCTCGAGATCGTCCGCAGATGATTCTTCGACTTCCGCTTCTTCGCCAACGCTGGCCTCAGCCGAGTCGGCTATTGAAATCGGCTCGTCTTCGTCTTCCTCCTCGTCGCCCACCAATCGCAGGGGCTCGAGTTTCGTTTCATCCGCATCGGCCTTCCCAGCCGGTGATTTCGGCTCGGCAGCCTCGTCCGGCTCAGCGAGCAGATCGTTGAACTCCAGTTCCGGTTCGAGACCCACCGCAGCGTCGCTCTCTGCTTCGTCGGCAACACTCGCCTCGACCGAATCAGCCAAAGCGATCGAGTCTTCCGCATCTTCGTCGGCAATGTTCAGCGACTCGTCGAGCGATTCAGCTTCGTCTTCCGACTCGAGTTTCAGCTCTTCGGGCTCGGTCTCAGGATCGGCCAAAGCGAAGTCGTCGTCATCCAGGGCCAACGCATCGTCGTCCGCTTCGAGTTCCGCGGCAGGTTCTTCCTGTTCGGCAGCTTCTTCGGCCACCGACGGCTTCTCCTTGGCCACCGGTTCTTCAGTCTCGGGAGCAAGGCCCTCAACCTCGAGCTCGCTTTCGACCTCTTCCTCGACCGCCGAATCTTCTTCGCTGGCTTCAGTGAGCGGTTCGTCGATCTCATCGACGGAGAACAGAATCTGCGAAGGCATGTCGGCCAGCGGACCGCTGAAATCACGGACATTCTCGATGTCTTCGGTCACAGAAGGTGGCGTGTCTTCGTCCTCAACCGACTCAACATCGGCGATCAGGTCAGACGCAGCGTCATCAGCGACCAGCGGTGCTTCGTCCTCAACTTCTTCCTTCACTTCCGGCGGAAGCTCGGCCTCCGGTTCGCTCGCGGACGATTCGTCGACCTCCTGCGCTTCTTCAAGATCCAGATCGAGCTCGAAGTCGCTCTCGGCCTCCAGTTTCGAGAACTCGTCGGAGTCGGCCTCGATGGTCGGTTCGGGGCCGCCCTCGTCTACAACCCCCAGGAAATCATCCGACGCCTCGGGCGTTACGGCATCCTCGGGTTTTTCCGCCTTCTCGCTAGCGTCTTCGACTTCCAACTCGTCATCTAAATCCAGATCAAGCTCGAACTCACTTTCGGCTTCCGGCTCTGGAGCCTCAGGAGTGACGGCCTCCTCTGGCTTTTCAGCCACACCGCTGGCCTCTTCGAAATCGAGTTCGTCATCCATGTCGAGATCAAGCTCGAACTCGCTCTCGGCTTCTGGCTCGGCGGCCTTAGGCTCGGCAGGAGAAACGCTGGCTTCTTCCCCTTGGAGATCAGGGTCTTCAATCAAGATGGCCGCTTCGTCCGTACTGCCCGAGGCAGCGTCGGCGGCATCGTCTTCCAACGACAGAGAATCGTCGTCGAGCGACAAGGAGAAGTCGTCATCATCCAGCGACAGCTCGTCGACTTCGGCGGGCTCTGCAGCCGATGCTTCCTCAGGCGGTACAAGCGATGTACCAGCAGGCGCGCCCAGCATGGTGGCCGCCGCCGGGTCGATTGGCTCGTCCGCGTCGTCGGCCCGAACCTCGCCGTTGCCGTTGGGAGTGATTTGGTATTGGGCCTCGAACGTCAGCGGGCCCACGGTCAGCGTGTGTCCCGGCTCGAGTGCGGCCTCGGTGATGGGTTCACCGTCGATGAGGGTTCCGTTCGAAGAGCCGCAATCGCGGACGAAGAGCTTGCCGTCGACTTCGATGATTTCGCAGTGCTTGCGGCTGATGGTCGGGTGCTTGAGCCGCAGCCACGTTTCCTCGCCGCGGCCGATCGTAAGAGGTGCCTTCAGCGGCAGCTTCAGTTCGATTTGGGACGACGACGCGCGCCCTCCGACGACGAGAAGCTTGGCTCGCATAATGGTCTGTTCCGCTGAGGGGTTCCGACTGCTTCGTGCCTGTTGCGCAAGGCCTTTCTCCTACGGCCATAAGACTCACGGCACTCGATTTGCCGTAACTTTTAATCTAAGGTCGGACCCTTCTGATAGCAAACAACTTGCGGTTCAAATGGGCGTTTCGGCTAAGGCGAAAACCCCGGGCAAGAGGGGATAGCCTGATCGTCTGGAAAACGCACGTCGCAACTGTCCTGCGGGTGCAATCGGTTGTAGTGCATGCCTTGATATCAGAACGCTTCCATGCCATCTTATAGGGGTGGCTCAGAAGCCTCTTCTTAGTGGGATCTTTTGAAACGCCGCAAGCACCGCGTGCCAGCGACAAGAATGGCGGCCCAGAGCAAGCCTTACCGCTGGCCCGTACTGCCCTTGCAAGGGCATAGCGCGACCCTATAATTCGGAGATTCCGGTTATTCCAGAGGCGGCCTCGGGCCGTCGACGGCTTTTCGACCTGGAATTAAGCGGGTGTAGCTCAGTTGGTAGAGCACGACGTTGCCAACGTCGTTGTCGTGGGTTCGAACCCCATCACCCGCTCTTGCGGGGTCGCCGAATTCCTATCCCATTCGAGATCGGTGGACTCGGTGCAGACGGACGTGGGTTAGATGGCGGCCGAAATCCTGTATCGGCGCTGTTTTGCCGTGTAAAGCGCACACGGGAAGCTTATTCCCTCCTGGAACAACGTACACCATGGTTGATGAGATTGAAGACGACGGCGTAGCCACTTCCGATCTGGAAGATATGACGCCAGAGCCGTTGGACCTGAAGGTCGACATTAAAGAGGTCAGTGCCTGCCAACGGCACGTCACCGTTACCGTGTCGCGTGCCGACATCGATCGCTATCTCGATAAGACGTTTAGCGAAATGATGGGCTCGGCCAGCGTTCCCGGGTTCCGCCAGGGCCGCGCCCCGCGGAAACTCGTCGAAGCACGGTTTCGCAGTGAAGTCATCGACCAGGTGAAGGGCAACCTGCTGGTCGACAGCATGTCGCAAATCACCGAGACCGAGAAACTGGCCGCCATCAGCGAACCCGATATCGATCCGTTGGCCGTCGAAGTGCCTGAGGAAGGCCCGATGACCTTCGAGTTCGATCTCGAAGTTCGCCCCGATTTCGAACTGCCGCAGTGGAAGGGCCTGAAGATCGAACGGCCCGTGCACGAGTTCGGCGACAAAGACGTCGACGCCCGCCTGCAAGAAGTGCTTTCGGAAGAAGGCAAGCTGGTGCCCCACAAGGGCGAGGCCGAGACGGGCGACTACATCGTCACCAAGCTCATCTTCACCCACGACGGTAAAGAGCTGGCCCGTAGCGACGAAGAAGTCATTCGCATCCGCCCCGAGTTGAGCTTCCGCGATGGAAAGATCGAGAAGTTCGACGAGTTGATGAAGGGCGTAAAAGCTGGCGACAAACGCGAAGGCGAAGCCGTTCTCACGCAAGATGCCCCCAACCAGGCTCTGCGAGGCAAGAAAGTCACGGCCAAGTTCGAAATCTTGGAAGTCAAGAAGCTCGAGCTGCCTGAGTTGAGCCCGGCCTTGCTGGAAGAGTTGGGTGGTTTCGAGTCCGAGGCCGATCTGCGAGACGCCATTCTCGACTCGCTCAATCGCCAGCTGCAATACGCCCAACAGCGTCAGGCTCGCGAGCAAATTATGGCCTCGCTCACCGACGCGGCCGATTGGGATCTCCCGCCCGACATGCTTCGCCGCCAGTCGCAACGCGAACTGCAGCGAACCGTGCTCGAACTGCGACGAAGCGGATTCAGCGAAGCCCAAATTCGTGCCAGCGAAAACGAGCTACGGCAAAACAGCATGGAGTCGACGAAGAAGGCCCTCAAAGAGCACTTCGTCCTCGAGCGAATTGCCGAAGACCAAAGCATCGAAGACGAGCCCGAAGATTACGATAGCGAAATCGCACTCATCGCCGCTCAAACCGGCGAAAGCCCCCGTCGAGTGCGTGCTCAAATCGACAAGGGCGGCATGATGGATGCCCTGCGGAATCAGATCATCGAACGAAAGACGATCGACCTGATTCTCGAACATGCTGACTTTAAGGACGTGCCGTACACACCACCCGGGTCGTCGGCCACGGCGATCAATCGGGCGGCCGGCGGTGGCGACGATTCGGACATCCCCTCGGCTCAGGTCGGTGGCGGTGAAGCCGCACCGTTGCCCGAGCCTCCGGAAGAAAGAGATTAGCCGACGGTCTGACCTGGCCCCTAAGCGGGCATTCCGCTTCAATTGCCACGGACGTCCAACCAAACAAGAAGGACCTTTCATGGGTAATACATTTCTTCCCCCAGGCCTAATCGATCCGCAGCTATCCGCTCGCGATTACCAGCGTCAGCGACAAATGACGTTGGGCGACTTGCTGCTGGAAAACCGCATCATCCTGCTGCAGGGCGAAATCCATGATGGGAACGCCAACGAGCTGGTGATGAAGCTGCTGTACCTGCAGAGCGAAAACCGCCGCAAGGACATCAACTTCTACATCAATTCGCCCGGCGGTAGTGTCAGTGCCACCTTGGCCATTTACGACACCATGCAAATTCTTAGCTGCAAGGTGGCCACCTACTGTGTGGGTCTGGCTGCCAGCGGTGGTGCGGTGTTGCTGGCCGGCGGGGCCAAAGGCAAACGGTTCGTCTTGCCGCACGCCAAGGTGATGATCCACCAGCCCTACGGACAAGTGGGCGGGCAAATCTCCGATATCGAGATTCAAGCCGACGAAATCCTGAAAACCCGCGACGTGCTCAACCGGATCTTGGCCGATCATACCGAGCAACCGGTCGAGCGGATTGCCAAGGACACCAATCGCGACTTCTACATGACGGCCACCCAGGCCAAAGAGTACGGAGTAGTCGACGAGATCCTCACCCGGCAAACCAGTTCGAGCGAAAACGAAGAAGACGATTCGTAGCGATCACCCGATCAAAGTTCGCATGAGGCGTGAATAACTCGCCGCATGCCAAGCAGATTCAACTTGCCAATATCGACGGAGCGTGTGTGCCGATGCCCCTGATCCCCTACGTAATCGAGAAGAGCGGCCGTGAAGAACGGGCGATGGACATCTATAGCCGGCTCCTCTCGGACCGGATTATCTTCTTGGGCTCCGGCGTGAACGACGAAGTGGCCAACGCCATCGTCGCACAAATGCTGTTCCTGCAGTCGGAAGACTCGAAGGCCGACATCCATCTCTACGTCAATTCACCTGGTGGTAGCGTGAGCGCCGGACTGGCGATCTACGACACCATGCAGTTCGTCACCTGCGACGTGGCCACCTACTGCATCGGTCAGGCCGCTTCGATGGGTGCCGTGTTGCTCACGGCCGGAGCCAAGGGCAAACGCTACGCGCTGCCCAACTCGCGAATCATGATCCACCAGCCACTGGCCGGCATGGAAGGCACCGCCGAAGAAATCATGATTCATGCTAGGGAATTCAGGAAGATCAAGGCGAAGCTGAACACCATTCTGCTCCGCCACACGGGTCACCCGCTTGAGAAGATTGAAGAAGATACGGACCGAGACCGATTCATGGACTCGGATGAAGCTCGCGACTACGGTCTCATCGACAAGGTCATCGAACACATCGATGCGGTCAGCTAGACCCTAGCCAGCAAGCTACCGGCGACCTCTTATCCCGCAACATGGTCGCCGACAGTGGCCAAAAGCCACGCACTGTGCAAATACCCCGGGGGGGACGAAACGTCCGACACGTCACCGCAAAGGCGGTTGCCGTGCATGGACGCTATACGCTCCGCGCGAGGTTACTACCATGCGTTGGCTGTCACCGATAGCACTGTTCTGCTGTGTTGCCCTTGTTGGTTGTCGCAGCAACAACTCGGACCGGGCCTATCTCTATCAAGAGCTCCGCGAGCAAGAAGACGAAATCTACGCGCTCGAGGACATGCTCGACCAGTACGAAGCCAAGCTAGCTTCCAGCCGGCGAGCCAACGAATCGCTCCGCCGCGAGCTTGCTGGCGGCGATGGCGACGACGATCCCACGCGCTCGTCCATTCCGCAGACCTTCCAGCCGCCGCGAATCGACTTCGTGCCCCCCAGCACGCCCGATTCCGATGCCCCTCGCTACGAGCCAACTGAACCGCTGCCGGCCCCCAGCACGCTCCCGCTCGATGCGCCCGAGCTTGAGATGCCCGACCCCAGCGAAGATGACAGCATCCGGCAGTCTGCCTACTACGAGCTCTACCCGTCCGACGACAGTTCCGGCGAAGCGGGCTCGCTGCTGAAATTCCGCCAGCAGCAGAAGGAAGAAGAGATCACCGACTATCGGGTCGATCGCATCACACTCAATCGCCAGCTCACCGGCGCACACAATCGCGACAAGCTGCCTGGCGACGAAGGCGTCTACATCGTCGTCGAGCCAAAGAACAAAGCCGACCAGGTGATCGACGTGCCAGGCAAGCTGACCATCGTGGTGATGGACCCACAGAAACGCGGCCCCGAGGGACGCATCGCACGCTGGGACTATACCGCGGAGGAAGCCGCCAATAGTTTCCGGCAATCGATCTTCGGCCGCGGGATGCACCTCGAACTGCCCTGGCCGGGCGAGGCACCACAAGCCGAAGAGTTGAACCTCTACGTCCGCTTTATCACCGACGACGGACGCCGGTTGATCGCCGAAAAGTCGATTCACCCCGATCCACTTCCAACGACCGAGTACGTCGACGGAAGTCCCCCGCCGTGCGACGATTGCTTGTCAGAGGATCACTCCAGCGAGGAAACAACCTCGCTTGCCGGAGAAAGCCACGATAGCTGGCGGCGCCGCACTCGTTCGTTCCGATCGCTCATTCCGGCCACGACAAGCCAGGCCCGTACCGCATCGCTCGACGCACTGCGTGAGCCCGAGCCGGCCATCGGCCTCCCAACCACCGCCTCGACAGCGAACTTCGATGCTCCGGTCGAGGTCGACCTGGGCCCCAGTCGCGAGGCCCCGCAGTCCGCAAGGTTACTGCAAACCTCGGGCGAACAAGCCGCAAACAACGCCGAGCTCGATTCCGAGGAAGTTCCCTACGAGTTCGGTCCGCAACGCCCGGATATCACGGCCGTTGAGCCCGAACCTCGCGAAGTGATCGAGGAACCCGCTCCGCCGAAACAAGCCCGTCGTCGGGTCGAGTGGTCGCCGTACCGGTAGCGATTCACAGCGCAATTCGGGCGCGGTTGAATCGTCTAACAAATAGAACTTCGATCGCGGTGCGCGACTAGATCAAGGCGTGCACTTTGGAGATCAGGTCGACGGTGCGGCAGCTATAGCCCCACTCGTTGTCGTACCAGCTCACCACCTTGACCATGGTGTCGTCGATCACCTGCGTGAAGTCGGCGGCGAAGATCGAGCTATGCGGATCGCCGATCACATCGCTCGAAACAATCGGGTCTTCGGTGTACTTCAGTAGACCCTTCAACGGGCCTTCGGCGGCAGCCTTCATCTTGGCGTTAATCGACTCGGCCGTGGCACTCTTGCTGAGGTCCGCAGTCAGGTCGACAACACTACCGGTCGGCGTAGGAACACGCATCGCAATGCCGGTCAGCTTGCCCTTCAAGTCTGGAATCACCAAGCCCACAGCTTTGGCAGCGCCGGTGCTGGTGGGAATGATGTTCAGTGCGGCAGCCCGAGCACGGTAAAGATCTTTGTGCGGCTGATCCTGCACGTTTTGATCGTTCGTGTACGAGTGCACGGTGGTCATCAAACCACGCTCGATGCCGAACTCTTCGTGCAGCACCTTAGCCACGGGGGCCAAACAGTTGGTCGTGCAGCTCGCGTTCGAAATGCACTTCAGGTCGCCGGTGAGCTTGTCGTCGTTCACACCCAACACGCAGGTCAGGTCGGCGCCATCTTTGGCCGGAGCACTGAGGATCACCCGCTTGGCGCCGGCTTTCAGGTGGGAGTCGTAACCGGCCTTGCTGCCTTCCGCACGTCCGGTGAACACACCGGTGCTTTCGACGACGATGTCGCAGCCCAGGTCGCCCCACGGTAGTTGGGCGGGGTCGCGTTCGGCCAAGGCTCGAATCGACTTGCCGTTGACGATGATGTTCTGTTCGTCGTACTCCACGTCACCGTCGAAGCGGCGGTGGATACTGTCGTACTTCAGCAAGGTTGCCAGTGTGTGGTTATCCGTCAGGTCGTTGATGCCCACGACCTCGAATTCCGACGAGCGAGCGGCCAGGTTGCGAAACACCAACCGACCAATGCGACCAAAACCATTAATGCCAACGCGAATAGCCACGATTGAACTCCTTTTTGGTCGCGACGCCTGCTCGATACTACGGGCGAACCTGCGGATCACGACGACTCGAATTGCTCGCCACTTGGGCGCTGTCAGAGTGCCGGATTATACTGACGCCCCCATACACGAGCAACCACCGCCATGAACCGAGCCCCCTCGTCACACACACCCGATTGGCGTTTGCCGCGCGGTGTTTCGCGCGGTTTGTGGGACTATATTCACGCGCCACATATTGCCGATCAGTATGACGAATACTTCGCCTACAACAGTTTGTTTGAATTCGATGAAGCCATCCTCGCGCGGCATTTCACTAAGCCTGGGCGGATCATCGATTTGGGGTGTGGCACCGGACGTCTGCTCGTGCCCTTCGCGCGGCGGGGATTCGCCGGCGTCGGTGTCGATCTTTCGCAGCACATGCTCGATGTGGTTCGCGAGAAGGCCGAACTCGAGAACTTGCCCATCTCCTGCGTGATGGCCAACATCACCGAGCTGGACTGTTTCGCCGACAACGCGGCCGAGTACGCCATCTGCATGTTCAGCACCCTGGGCATGATCCGCGGCCGCGAGAATCGCCTGCAGGTGTTGCGGCACGCCCGCCGCATCGTCAAACCCGGCGGAGTGTTTGTCCTGCATGTGCACAACCGCTGGTACAACTTGTTCGACCCCCAGGGCCGCCGCTGGCTGCTGCAAAACGCGATCGGTTCGATGGTCCATCGCGATGAGGAACCCGGCGACAAGATTTACGACTACCGAGGGATCCGCAACGTCTTTCTGCACACCTTCACGCAGGGCGAACTCACGGCCGATCTCAAAGCCGCCGGGTTCACCATCCGCGAGTGCGTCACGCTCGACACCACCCGTCATCGCCCCCTCACCCGCCCCTGGCTGTTACCCCGCATCCGCGCCAACGGCTGGATCGTCGCCTGCGAAACCCCGCTATAATTAGAAACTTCGCCATCGATAGCAGGCCATTTGAATGGGATGACACCTGCTTGTCAGCCGGGCCCTGAGATGCCTATGCTGATTAGGCGGCCACACACGTCTCATCATCAAGCGTCAGGAGTGGGGTTCATGTCCGATTTGAAAAACCGCCTGCGGGAAACACTCAACGAGTTGCACGCAGAGTTGGAGAACGTCGAAGAGGTCGACCCCGAGATGCGTGGCATGCTGCTCGGCGCGGCTCAAGAGATCGACGAGAAGATTCAGCCAACTGAAACAGACGCAACCGGAAGCCCCGCCGCCGAAGACCAACCGCTCGACGACCGTTTGGCCGACGCCGCCCGGCACTTCGAAGTCACCCACCCCACGCTCTCCGGCATTATTTCCCGACTAGCCAACGGGCTGAGTCAGTTGGGCATTTGAGCGTGCGTTGTGACGGTGAATTGGAGCAACGCCCCCATCATGAGACTGTGAACACGCACCGACATTTTCGGAACACAGTCCATTGATTCGACATGAGGCCAACGGGCCAGTTATGTTCTGGTGAGGCCTGTACCCAACCCCGATTGCCGGAACTCTATAGCTGCTCTGCGAGACGGGACCACGGGTCAGCCAACGCCCGTTCACATGGGATGGACGCTCTCTGGTTCTCGCACCCCAAAACAGCGATCAGCCCAGCAGGTCGAATCTGGCAGGATTGGCACGAGCGGCCAACCTCAGCGAAGCAAGCGCCCTTCCTAGCAACTCGGTAGACAAGCAGCCCGCATGAGCCATTCCACACGCATCTTTCTGCTGGCTCTCGGAACAACATTCATCGTGTGGACCGTCTGGTGCGCCCTGATGGCATTCGTAGGCGAGCCGTTTACTTCACCCTTGATACGCGCTTTCGTTCGCATATCCGCGGTTCTCTTGCCGGCGATCGCGTATGCTCATTTCGTAGTTAAGGCACAAGACGATTTCTGGGCCTTCCGGAGAAATTGGCTACTTGGGCTGTTGGTCGGTGCAACCCTTTCGTGCTTCTTCTGTGTGTTGATCGTTGCACAAAATTCGGGACAACCACTTGGGATCCCGGTTGAGCTTTCCACTTGGATCAATCTCATCGTCTTTTCTCCGCTCGCCGAAGAGATGATGTTCCGCCGAGTCGCTCTAGAGCATCTCAAGTCGATCACGACGACATGCAACGCAATCGTCGTTTCATCGCTTCTCTTCTCATTGCTTCACCTGCCTTGGTGGCTGATGTCTGGAGAAGTACAAGGCTATGAACTGGCTGCAGCTTTGACCTCTCTGTTCTTGTATGGCGTTGTGTTCTCAGTCGCAGTACAGACCACGAAGTCGATTTGGTCGGCCTTGCTCCCACACTGGGTCAATAACCTGCTCTTGCAGAGCTTTAATTCGTAGAAGGGTCTTCGCCGGAGGTCTGCGAAGTGCCGTCATGACACCCAACAGCAGATCGCGGTGGACGATGAGTTGCAAAGCTTGAGATTGGCACTTCGGCAGAGCAAAGCCCTCCCCCCAAATTCTCGGACGCCAGGGGAAAAAAGCGATCTGATCCTCAGCGAAAGTTACCGCACGCACCTGAAACCGATGTGTAACGCGGCGACTTTCTTCGTAGAATTTTGTTGACTTTCATAATCGCACTTCGATACCTTCACGGTTGACGATCGCGCCCGGAACCGCGGTTCGTCACTGCATTCAACCGCCCGTTCTTTGGGCCGCACATTCGACTGCAATTGAAGGGGAGAAGGTCATGTTCACACAGCGTGTGATGCTGCGCAGTGGAATTCTAGTGGTCGCTCTCGGAGCCGCATTCGCGGAGTTTCCAAACGCTCGAGCAGCTGACCAAGAAACAGCCTATAACACCGCCCCTATCCGCGTTGGCGACAATCCGGCCCACGAGAAGCTTCGCGAAGCCCTGAACCACCCTACGTCCGTCGAATTCGTAGATACTCCACTGATCGTCGTCGTCGATTACCTTGAAGACGCACATCACATTGAGTTTGAGATCGATCAGCGTTCGCTCGACGATCTCGGCATTGGTCTCGACACACCCGTGACGCGGGAGCTAAAGAATGTTTCGTTGCGTTCCGTGCTCGATCTCATCCTGAACGAGCTCGATCTGACCTATCGCGTCGATTCCGAAGTCCTGATCATCACCAGCATCGAAGAGGCAGAAACTCGACTCGAACTGGTCATCTATCCGGTCGGCGACTTGTTACCCCCGCCGAAGGACGGTGAATATTGCCATAAGGCCTTCATGGACATGATCGTCTCGAAAGCCTCGCCCACAAGTTGGGAAGAAGTCGGCGGACCCGGATCTATCAGCGGCTTTCGCGATGCCGTGGTCGTCTCGCAAACCCAAGAGGTTCACCGGCAGATCGACGAGTTGCTGCAGGGGTTACGGCAACTCTCGCGTACCCCCATCAACGACCTGCAACGGTCGGAACATGGTGCTCAATAGCGGTTGCTACAGCTAAGAAAGTACCAGCAGGCTTTGCCGGCGCTTGGGCGGTCGCAGGACGCGCTCAACCAAGCGCTGGTATGGCCGTTTAGTTCGAAGCGGCCACTAACTAATCGTCGTCCCGCTCTCCTCGCTCCCGCGGATTCTTCTTCCCTCGCGGTTTCTTCTCCGGCTCGCCAATCGGCTCGGCCAGCATGATGTCGACTTGGCTGGCGATGATCTTGCCGGGAGCGAAGAGTTGGCCTTTCACGCGCAGCTCGTCGCCAGCTCGGGCCAAGCTGTAGTCGCTCACCTTGAGTGTGATCTCGGCCTCTTCATCCAGTTCGGCTTGAGCGCGTTGGCGCCCGGCGCTGACCAGCAGCTTGCCGTTCTTGAAGGCAGTAAGCCGCCCGGCGACCAGCACGTCGGTATTCGGGTCAGTCGGGTCCTCGGGAAACACGCCAATATCAACGGCGTCGGAAGGCTCGAAGATCTCCAGTTCCGTAAGCGGCTCTTTGGCCGTAGTTCCTTCGAAGGCGGCCGTAAATCGCACAAACATCCCGCTTCGCAACACGCTGGGCAGTGCCTCGCCGGTCACGTACACCCGCGTGTCTTTGTCGACCTTGATCAGCCCTTCCTGATTATCTTCGTCCACGGCCTGAATCATGCCTCGCTGAACGCCAACCACTTTGCCGTTGAGTTCCACCGGCGGTGGGCCATCGTTCCCTTGATTACGGCCCTGTGCTTGCACTGCCGCAGCACCACTCAACACCACGCCCATGACGACGGCAACCAGGCCATTTCGGCAGAAAAGCTTCATGAAAGTGTCCCTCGATCGATCTGCGATGCACCGATCCAGGCGGGCACCACTGAGACCAATTGTCCCGTTCCCCAGCGGGCGAATCCCCCGCGACGCACCTCAGAATACACGTTGAGAGGCGGACAAGCCAGAAAATGCCGCCGGCCGTAATACCCCCCTGCGGTTGTCTTTCCCCCGTTCGAGCGTCACAATTCGGCGCAGTGGGTCTTCTTTTGATGCTGCCGCATTCCATTCCTTGTGACAGCCAGGTAACGATGAGCGACGACGCCAACCGAGTCACTGTGCCCAAGTTCGTGGCCATGAAGGCCGCCGGACACAAAATCAGCATGCTTACGGCCTACGATTACACGATGGCCCGACTGTTAGATGCCGCCGGGATCGAGTGCATTCTGGTCGGCGACAGCATGTCGATGGTCGTGCAGGGGCACGCCAACACACTTCATGTAACACTCGACCAGATGATCTACCACGCCGAGATGGTAGGTCGCGCCGCCGAACGCGCACTGGTGGTGGTCGACATGCCTTTTCCCAGCTTTCACCTCGGCACGTACAAGGCCATCGAGAACGCCGGCCGCATTCTGAAAGAAACCAGTTGTCAGGCTGTGAAGCTCGAAGGCGGTGCCGAACAGGCCGACGTGATCGCCGCCCTGGTCGGGGCCGGCATCCCTGTGATGGCCCACTGTGGATTGCGCCCGCAGAACGTGCACCAACTCGGTGGCTACAAAGTTCAGCGCGACCGCAAGCGATTGCTCAAAGACGCCAAAGCCGCCGAAGCGGCCGGAGCGTTTTCGGTGCTGCTGGAATGCGTGCCCGTAGAAGCGGCCAAGGAAATCACCGAAGCCCTGGAAGTACCCACCATCGGCATCGGCGCCGGGCCCGGTTGCGACGGCCAAGTGCTGGTGATCAACGACGTGCTGGGGCTCACCAGCGGTTATGTGCCCCGCTTCGTGAAGAACTACGCCGACATCGGAAAGACCATCACCGAGGCGGTAATCAACTACCGCGACGAAGTCCGCGGCGGCATCTTTCCGGCCCAAGGCCAGTCGTTTAAGTAAACAAGTGGAAGCCGTTTCAAAACCTGGTGTAATTCCAACGTGGGTGCCACTGCTGGCTTGTCCAGCAGTGCCCGTTGCGGGACTTATCGTGCTGGGCCATCTAGCATCGTCATCCGAGCTAAATTCAGAAACGACCCCTAGTCATTAGCAATTCGCGTCCCGCGGAAAGAACCTCCGGTAGCCGTGTGGCTTCGCGCGTGCCTCCAACCCAGCGAAGGCAATCATGCCCAATCGACTCGCAGAGTCCAATAGCCCCTATCTCTTGCAACACGCCAACAACCCGGTGCACTGGCAACCCTGGGATGATGCGGCACTGGAGCAAGCCCGCCGGGAAGACAAACCGATCTTCTTGTCGATTGGCTACTCGGCCTGTCACTGGTGCCATGTGATGGAGCACGAGAGTTTCGAAGACGAGGGCATCGCCAAGCTGCTGAACGACAACTACGTCAGCATCAAAGTCGATCGCGAAGAACGACCCGACCTCGACCAGATCTACATGAACGCCGTGCAGATGATGACCGGTCGTGGTGGCTGGCCGATGTCGATGTTCCTCACCCCCGAGGGTCATCCTTTCTACGGCGGCACCTACTGGCCGCCCCACGCCAAAATGGGCATGCCGGGTTTCGATCAAATTCTGCAAGCGGTCACCGAAGCCTGGGCCAACAAACGAGCTGACGCCATCGAACAGGCCACGAAGCTCACCGAGCAACTCCAAGCCGTAGGGCTGCAAAGCGCCGAACCTTCTGCCATCTCCGGCGATTTGGTTCACGGGGCCGTCGCGCAATTGGAACGCATCTTCGACCATACCCACGGTGGTTTCGGTGGGGCTCCCAAGTTCCCCCACCCCATGGATATCCGTGTGCTGCTGCGAAGTTGGCATCGCGATCGACGCGACGGGGTACTGAACATGGTCACCCACACACTCAACAAGATGGCCGGCGGTGGGATGTACGACCAACTCGGCGGCGCGTTCCACCGCTATTCGGTCGACGAGCAGTGGCTCGTGCCTCACTTTGAGAAGATGCTGTACGACAACGCTCTGTTGGCCGTGTGCTACCTGGAAGGCTATCAAGCAACCGGCGACGAAGACTACGCCCGCACGGTCCGCGAGACGCTCGACTTCTGGCTTTCGACCATGACCGACAGCGAAGGCGGATTCTACAGCACGCTCGATGCCGACAGCGAAGGGGTCGAAGGCAAGCACTACGTCTGGACGCCGGAGGAAGTCGAAACCCTGCTCGGCCCCGCAGCGGCGAAAACCTTCTGCTACGTGTACGACATCGCCCCCGGCGGCAACTTCGAAGGGCAAAGCATTCCTAACCTGCCGAAGACCCTGAAGCAATGCGCCGCGATCTTAGGACGCGAAGTCGAAGAGCTACGCGCTGAGTTGGACGCCTCACGGCAGATACTTCTCGAAGTTCGCCAGCAACGCATCCCGCCGGGGCTCGACGACAAGGTGCTCGTGAGTTGGAACGGACTGATGATTGACGCCATGGCGCAAGCGGGCGCCGTGTTGGCCGAACCCCGTTATCAACAGGCGGCCATCAAGGCAGCCGAGTTCATTCTCGCACAGCTGCAAGATTCCAACGGTCGGCTGCTCCACAGTTGGCGGCAAGGTCGCGCCCAGGGCAGCGCGTTCCTCGACGACTACACTTGCCTGGCCAACGCGTTCGTCACCCTGTACGAAGTCACGTTCGATGGCCGTTGGATCGAGGAGGCCGTTCGCCTGTGCGATGACTTCATGGCCCGCTTTGTCGACCTTGACGGGGCAGGCTTTTTCTACACGGCCGACGATCACGAACAACTGATCGCGCGAAACAAAGACATCATGGACGCCTCGGTGCCCAGCGGGAACGCGATGGCGGCCACCGTGCTGGTTCGCCTGGCCAGCCTGACCGGGCGAGACGATTACCGCGAGGCGGCCGAAAAAACACTCGCCGGTTTCGCCACCGCCATGGAACGAGCCCCCACGGCCACGGGCCAACTCCTCATCGCGCTCGATATGCACGTCGGCCCCACGCCGCAGATCGTCGTGATCGGTGCAACGGATGACGCCGATACCGCAGAGGTAATGAACAACCTCTGGCAACGCTTCATCCCCAACCGCGTGTTAGCCGGCAGCGACCCCAACCAGAAGTCTCGTCCCGAGGCCCTCGAACAACTCTTCGCCGGCAAAGACCCCGGCGACAAAACCCCAGCCGTTTACATCTGCGAGTCGTTCACCTGCTCCGCCCCCACCTTCGGCAAAGAAGCCGCCATCGAAAGCTGGGACCAACTCAGCAAAAAGTAGAAACCCACAAAGGGTACCACCGGATCTCGATCCGGTGCGGCGCAGCCGCCGGAGGCCTTCACACGATGGCCTCAATCAGCAGACGATTCGCCCCCGCACTCTCAGGTACAAGTAGGGAGCGAAGACATAGCCCACCGTTAATTCAGCACTGCTCGACAAGCCAGCAGTGGCACCCCGGTGACAGATCGGTGATCCTGAAAACACTCACCGTGGGCGATGCGGACCTCGCAGCGGCGGAGAAGTTCGCACGGGTGCGAAGCGTGCATCGTCGGAGTCTAAGAACCCTTCCAGCGCGGCTTCCATTCGTTCGTCGGTATCGTAGGTGCCGGCAGCGATCTGCCGACGGATCTCGGCAATCCGCTCCGTGCGTTCGATGTTTTGTTCGTCGGTATTCACAGTAGGCTCGATTCTTGGTGCAATCTTCCGACGAGGGTCGCCACGGACCTTCGTCCTGGTGTGGGCTAGCGTCTAGTTCAACTTAGCACATGCCCCCGGACCTTGAAACGCATCGATTGTAGCGATAGATGCTGGTTGATTCGTACACTCACTGCTTGACCCCTACGATGCGGCCAGTAGTCTCAACAGGAACCCGAAACGTTGCCGAAATGCATCGCGGCGGCCGCTGAAAGGCCACCTAAGTTCTGCTCGAGATGCTAGCGTCCGGCTACGTGTTCGGGCGTACGGGAGAATCTAATGGCGCGTCGTCGATCGCTTGGTTGGCCCATCACGCTGGGCGTGGTGATGATCGTCTTGCTGATTGCGCTGACAGTCGGGTGGATTCTGCTCGCGGTGGCCGCCATCCGCGTAGACACCGGAGCCTTCTGGGCCATTCTGACCCTGGGAACCACGTTTCTCGTACTCGTGTTGGTCGGCGTGGTGCTGTATTTGTGGTTATCCATTAAAGAAATCAATCTCAACCTCCGACAGGCGAATTTCATCGACAGCGTAACGCACGAACTCAAGTCGCCCATCGCATCGCTGAAGCTTTATCTACAAACCATGCGACGGCATCCCTTGGGTGAAGAAGAACGCGTCGAGTTCACCGACTTCATGCTCGAAGACGTCGAGCGGCTCGACGCCCTGATCACCCATCTACTGGAAGCAGCCCGACTCGAACAGAAACCGGTCGAAGACGAATCGGTCGACATCAATCTTCCCAAACTACTGCAAGGCTGCGCCGAAGCGGCCTGCAAACGCTATCGCTTACCTTCGGAAACCATTCAGCTCAATTTGCAGCCAGCAGTAGTCCGCGCGGTGCATGTCGATCTGGAAATCATTTTCCGCAACCTTGTTGATAATGCCATCAAGTATTCTGGTGATGATCCCCAAGTCGAAATCGAATGCACGACCGACGATGGGATGGCCGTCATACGAATCGCCGACAACGGACCAGGCATTCCGATGAGTTTCCGACGCAAAATCTTCTGGCGGTTTTACCGCATCGGCAGCGAACTCGAACGCTCGCAAAAAGGCACCGGGCTGGGCCTTTACATCGTGCAAACCCTGGTCCGCAGGCTGCGGGGAAAAGTGCTCGTCGCCGGGCGAGGATCGGAGTCGGGCACCGTGTTCGAGGTCAAACTACCCCTGAGTGCCACCTCTGCTCCCCAAGCTGAAACGGTGACCTCAGGCTGAAATAGATAAGCCGGAAAGCATGTGACAGGGTAATCGGAGTTGTTCGACCGCCCTCAGACGACTAAGTTTCAATCTCGGCAACCGGACAGAGGCCCCGCGAAGCTGACCAAGCTATGGTTTCCCTATGATCTCCACGCTCGCGGATATTCTGATTTTAGGATCTGTGCTCCTGGGGCACATCTGGATGGTGTTTCTCATCTTGCACCATATCCATTCGGCCCGGATGGAGTTCACGACGATCTCCCATTTGACGAAGATCACCCAGGCGGCATTCCTGGTGGCGTTCTGCGGCTGGGGATGGTGGTTCTACGTCCACGGCTTCGACGTGCTTCAACTCGCCGAAGACGGCGCATTGAACGTCGCGCAATTAGCCTACCTGGCGGTGTTCGCAGCCCTAGGTGCCGTGGCGGTTCCCCTCTGGGTTGCGCAGCGGCTGAGCGATCGCCCACCCCACCTTCTCAAGCGACATCACCGCACCACGTTCGACATTGCCCAGGCCCTCGATACCTGGCCCGTCAATTCAGGACGCGACAACTTCTTCGCCCGCCTGCCCGGCAATCAGGCCCTGAAGATCGACTTGGTGGAACTCACGCTCGAAATTCCGCGTCTTCATCCCGCCCTAGATCAGTTCTCCATCCTTCACCTGTCCGACATCCATTTCGGCCACGCCATCCGCCAGGAATTCTTTGAAGAAGTAGTCCGCATCAGCAACGCCCAGGAAGCCCACCTCATCGCCATCACGGGCGACATTCTCGACGAGAAGCAATGTCTACCATGGATCCCCGAGACACTTGGAAAACTCAAAGCCGAGTTGGGCGTTTACTTCATCCTGGGAAATCATGATTGGCTGCTTCACGATCTCCCCAGCATTCAAGAAGCAATTCACGCCGCGGGACACGAATACCTTGGCAGCAACTCGAAAACCATCAGCTTCAACGGCCAAGAGATCGTGTTAGCCGGCAACGAACTCCCCTGGTTCCAACCGGCGGCCGATCCCACGAAGCTCCCCCCGCGCGACAAAGACGGAACCCCGTTGCGTCTACTACTGGCCCACTCGCCCGACCAGTTCAACTGGGCACGCGAACACGACTTCGACTTAATGCTCGCCGGGCACACCCACGGCGGGCAGATCGCACTGCCGCATCTTGGCCCACTCTTCACCGCCAGCCGCACCGGCACCGCTTACTCGGCCGGCACGTTCCATCGCGATGCGACCATTATGCACGTGAGTCGCGGGGTCTCCGGCAGCAGGGCACTGCGCTACAATAGCCCTCAGGAGATCGCCAAGATCACGCTCCGTTGTCCGAAGGCTCAGAGCCAGCAACTCGAGCAGGTCAATCAAAACATTGCGGTCGCCGGTCGGGTTGAATGATCTCGAACAACCGAACCCGAGCAATCGCATTTCGTTGACGCGACCCAATCCCCCAACTACGATGCGTCGTCTTTGGGGAAAGCCCGGATGACAACGCACGGCGACAACTTGCACATTCTGGCGATCGACCTTGGTGGCGGCGGCCCCAAGGTGGCGCTGGTGTCTCAGCAGGGAGAAATCGTCGCCCGGGCCCGACGCACCATTCGCACGCACTTCCTTCCCGGCGGCGGCGTCGAGCAAGACCCCGAGGAGTGGTGGCAAACCATCACTTCGGCCGCACAAGAAGTCATCTCCACCGCGCCTATCGACCCCGAAGACATCGCCGCGGTGAGCTGCACCGGTCAGTGGTCGGTCACGGTTCCAGTCGACGAGAACGGCCAACACCTCATGAGGGCCGTGCACTGGATGGACTCGCGTGGTGCCCCTTACACCCACGCCATGACCGACGGCCTGATCAAATTCGAGGGCTACGGCCTCCGCCGGCTGTTCACCTGGCTGCGACTCACCGGCGGCGCACCAACCCATTCCGGGGCCGACGTGCTGGCTCACATTCTTTTCATCAAGAACGAACACCCCGAGGTCTACGCCCGCACCCGCGCGCTGCTCGAACCGGCCGACTTCATCAATCTCCGGCTCAACGGCAAGACCGCCGCTTCGCACGGCACGATCTTCCCCTACCTGCTGACCGACAACCGCGACAACCTCAACATCAACTACAACGACAAGCTGATCCGCTTCGCAGGCATCGATCGCCAGAAGCTGCCCGAGTTGGTTCCGGTCGACTCCGTTCTGGGTCCGATTCTCCCGGAAGTGGCCACCGAGTGGGGCCTCAGCCCGAATACAAAAGTTGTTGCCGCCACTAGCGACAGCCAGGCCGCCGTGCTCGGTTCCGGCGCCGTCGACGACTTCGCCGGGCATCTCTGCATTGGCACCTCGTCGTGGCTCACATGTCATGTCCCATTTAAGAAGACCGACCTGAGCCGCTACCTGGCCACCATGCCGTCGGCCATTCGCGGTAAGAACATGGTCGTCGCCGAACAGGGCCCGGCCGGCAAGTGCTTAGAAACCCTCGTCGAACGCTGGCTACGCACCAGCCCCGAAGGCGCCCGCATTGAAGCCGAAGAAGAACGCTTCCTCGAACTGACCCGCGGCGCCGCGGCCGTGCCCGCGGGCAGCAAAAACTTGATCTTCCTGCCCTGGCTAAATGGCCCCGGCCCGCCGGTTTCCGATAGCTACGTGCGAGGTGGATTCCTCAATCAAACGCTCGAACACGATGCCGCCCACGCCTTCCGCGCGGTGATGGAGGGCGTGGCTTACAATGTTCGCTGGCTCACTTCCGCCGTCGAACGGTTGATCGGACACCCGTTCCCGTCGCTGAATTTCATCGGCGGCGGGGCCCGCTCGGAGCTGTGGGGGCAGATTTTTTCCGACATCCTCAACCGCCCCATCCACCAGGTGCAAGAGCCCACCTGGGCCATCGTGCGAGGGGCCGCTTTCGCCGGATTGCTCGCCCTGGGGCACACCGATCTCGCGACCGTGGCCCGCTGTGTGAACATCTCCCACACTTTCACCCCCTCGCCTGAGAATCGCCAGGTGTACGACGAGTTGTTCCAGGTCTTCCTCAGGGCCTATAAAGTGAACAGAACGCTATTCAAGAAACTGAACACAACCCATCGCTAGCACAGGCCGCAATTGGTCTGAGCCTCACCAGCACATATTACGCAAGCACGGAGAACTCCCAGCATGGCAACGGAAGAAAAGGTCGACGATTTGGGCCCCCTGGCCCCAATCGACGCGATGATGCATCCCTATCGCGACCAGTACACCACACACGACCGGTTGCCTGCCGAAGGAATCGCTCGGGAAGACGTGCTGAAAGAAATGCAGGAGCTGCACGATATTGAAAGCGCCCGTTGGAGAGATGGCTACGCCTCTGGCGCGGTGTACCACGGCGACAACGAGCACGTGGACTTTCTGAACCAGGTCTACGCCATTCAATCGCAATCGAATCAACTCCACTCCGACCTGTGGCCTAGCGGGGCGAAGTTCGAAGCTGAAATCGTGGCCATGACCGCCAACATGCTCTCGGCAGACAAGACCGGCGAGCCCTTCAATTCGAGCAAGGGCATCTGCGGTTCGGTTTCCTCCGGAGGGTCTGAGAGCATTCTGCTGGCGATGAAGACCTACCGCGATTGGGCCCAAGCCGAAAAGGGGATCACCGAGCCTGAACTCGTCATTCCACGCTCAGCGCATGCCGCCTTCTCGAAGGCCGGTGAATACTTCCGCATCAAGGTGCACGAAGTCCCACTGGACGACGACTTCCGCGTGGACGTAAACCAGTTGGAAGCGGCGATCAACAAGAACACGATCGCCATCATCGGCTCGGCCATGAACTTCCCCTTCGGCACGATTGACTCGATCGAAGACCTCTCCGAGATCGCCCTGCGGCACAACATCGGGCTGCATGTCGATTCCTGCCTAGGCGGATTTCTTTTGCCTTGGGCTGAAAAACTCGGCGAGCCGGTCCCGCCGTTCGACTTCCGCCTGCCGGGCGTCACTTCGATGTCGTGCGATACGCACAAGTACGGCTTCGCCGCCAAGGGCACGTCAGTCGTGCTCTATCGCGGCACCGACCTGCGGCGCTATCAGTACTTCACCATCGCCGATTGGCCCGGCGGACTGTACTACTCACCCACCTTCTCCGGCAGCCGCCCCGGTGGGCTCAGCGCCACCTGCTGGGCCGCCCTCGTCGCCACTGGTGAGAAGGGCTATCTAGCCGCCACGCGAAAGATCCTCGACTCGGTCGCCATCATGCGCAAGGGCATCGAAGACATCCCAGGCCTGCGCATCTTGGGGCATCCGATTGGCGTCTTCTCCTTCGCCGCCGATGACCTGGACATCTACCAGGTGCTCGACCAAATGTCTTACCGGCGTTGGGCCCTCACCGGCTTGCAGCATCCGCCGGCCTTGCACGTCAGCCCCACGCTCCGCAATTGCCAAGACGGTGTGGCCGAACGGTTCGTCGAAGACCTTCGCGAATCGGTCCAGTTCGTTCGCGAGAATCCCGACACCGAAGGCGGTATGGCCCCCATCTACGGCATGGCCGCCACCTTGCCCGATCGCTCGATCGTGCACGACATGCTGCGACAGGTAATCGACGTGTACTACCGGCTGTAACCTCAATCACATCGAATCGAGACTGTCATGCGTTTCCTCACGACGCTCACCCTGCTTGGCTGCTTGCTGTTAACGAGCGACCTCGTTGCCGATGAAATGCCCTGGATTGCGGTCGCCGACGACGGTCAATCATTCGTGCTGGACCCCACCGGGCAGCGGTTCGTTCCGTGGGGGTTTAATTACGATCACGATCGTGGCGGAAGACTCCTCGAGGATTACTGGGACGATCAGTGGCCTGCAATTGAAGAAGACTTTGCCGAGATGAAGCAACTCGGCGCGAACGTGGTCCGCATCCATTTGCAGTTCGGCCGCTTCATGGACGCCGCGGAGAAGGCCAACTCCCACGCACTCGAGCAGCTCAGGCGGTTGCTCGACCTGGCTGAAGCCCAGGGGCTGTACCTCGACCTCACCGGATTGGGTTGCTACCACAAGCAAGACGTGCCGCCCTGGTACGACGAACTTTCGGAGCAAGAACGCTGGAACGCCCAGGCCACGTTCTGGAGCGCGATCGCCGAGCGCTGCAAGAACAGCCCGTCGGTTTTTTGCTACGACCTGATGAACGAACCGGTCGTGCCCGGTGGCAAGGCCAAGCGCGACGACTGGCTCGGTCCCGCCTTCGCCGACAAACACTTCGTCCAGTTCATCGCACTCGAAACCAAAGGTCGTCCCCGCGACGAGATCGCCCGCGCTTGGATCGCCCAACTGGTCACCTCAATCCGCGAGCACGACCATCGACATATGATCACCGTGGGCCTGGTGCCTTGGAGCCTCGACCGGCCAGGACTCAACTCCGGTTTCACGCCCGAGAAGGTTACGGCCGATCTCGATTTCATCGCCATGCACATCTATCCCGAGACGGGCAAAAACGACGAAGCCCTGGAAACCCTGGCCGGATTCAACATCGGCAAGCCACTGGTGATCGAAGAGATTTTTCCCCTCCGCTGCAATGCGGAACAACTCGGTGAATTCATCGATCAGTCAAAACAACACGCCGACGGGTGGATCGGATTCTATTGGGGCAAAACTCCCAAAGAACTCGAAAACACTACCGAGTTCGGCGAGGCACTCACACTCGGTTGGCTGAAGTTGTTCCAAGAAAAAGCCCCCGAGCGTGAATTGCTAACTCCCGCACCATGAACAACATCTTCTTGGCCATCCCTGCGGACCAATCCGAAGAACACTTCGAGCCACTACTCGAGACGGGCGACTTCCGCATTGAACGCATCGTATCGTTCGGCCAGTCCTCGCCCCCGGGCTACTGGTACGACCAAGCGCAGGCCGAATGGGTGATGCTCCTGCAAGGTGCCGCTCGCTTGCAATTGACCAACCCCGATAAGCTCGTCGAACTGAAGCCCGGCGACTGGATCAACCTGGCCGCCCACGAAAAGCACCGCGTCGAGTGGACCACACCCGACGAGCCCACCATCTGGCTGGCGATTCATTACACGTCGAAAGCCGCCAGCTAAACGCCACAAGCATTGGCAGAACAGCCCGGGTACAATCGAGGTTTGCCCGTGCGATCTTGGCTCTCAAGCACCGACGCGAACCTTGTTGAACCGCTCCAAAGAACAACCCTCTGAAACACCTGCAGCTTCCGGCCCCGCCGGGCGATCTCCACGCGCAGGCTCCGCACTCCTCGGTTGGCTGGCGGCGAACCTCGTGCCGCTGCTGTTGCTCATCGACACCGGCGTAGCGATCACTCAAGGCTGGCAACTGCCCGAAGCCCGAGGGCTGATCGTTTTCCCACTGCTCTCCGGCATGTGGCTTGTGGCCACCTTCGTGCTGCTCATCATCCCGTCCTATCGACGTTGGATGGCACGGCATACAGCGAAGCTGTTCGCCGCCTCCTGTGGAGTGCTCATCGGGCTACTCCTGGGCGAATGGATGATCGACGCCCTCGCACCCCGCGCCCCGTTCCATCGCCGCACGCCAAACGCCGTGTACACCTTCGAGCCCAACTCGTTCGCCATGCCGGGGGTGTTCGATGAGGCCACCATGTCGATCAACTCCCAAGGCCTGCGTGGGGCCAAACTCCCAGGCCGCAACGCCGAAGACACCTACCGCATTCTGTTTGTCGGCGGCGGAACGACCGAGTGCCTGTATCTCGACGATTCCGAGACGTGGCCCGCGCTGGTAGGCGAACACCTGAACGAGAATGATTTTACATCCACCGTGGCCACCGCGGCGGTTGCCGATCATGCCAGCGGACATCACCTGCGACTGCTCAACGAGGTCAACGTAATCGAAAGGGCCGATTGCCTCGTAATGATGCCGGGGGCCGGCGACTTGATGCGAACTCTGCTGCAACAGCCAGTCACCGGAAAGCGTCCTCCTGTTTGGATGCGAAGTGCCCTGGCCGATCTCCTACAACAAATCTGGAACGTCCGCCTCGGCCACGGCTTGGTGTTCGACAACACCGGCGAAGAGATCTCCGTCATGCGTTGGGGCCGACCCATTGCAGAGTTCGACTTCGACGCAGCCCTCGAGCAAGACTTGAACGCGTACGAACAACGCATCCGCGAGATGATCGCCACGGCCAACGAGCGCGGAGTGCGACTCGTCTTCGTCGGCCAGCCGTGCCTGTGGTCCGAGTTCCTCACACCCCTGGGCGTCAGTCGCCTCCGCTGGGCGCTCGACCCCACCAGCCCACGTGACTGGGAAGCCCTACAGGCAACCAACCTGAAAGCGGCGCTCGATCGCTACAACCAGGTAACCGCTGAAGTCTGCCAGCAAGAGGGCGTGGAGTTCATCGACACCGCCGCCATGAATGGCCGCGAACAGTACTTCTACGACGACTTCCACCTCAACGAGGCCGGCTGCCGGCGACTGGCCGAAATCGTCGGCACTTCGCTGCTCGAAACGCGGGCCTCTCAGCCGTAAGTGGCTCACGTGCCATATCGTTGTTGGGCGATTTTCGGGCACCTATAATGGAGCCTGTGGGCTAATAACTCCTCGAGACCGTCGGGCCGAACTTTTCCAAGGCTCTTGTCGGCGGTCGCAGTATCTCCCGTGCTCGCAGCGGGGAACCCTAAGGGCGAATGGTATCGATGTTGTCTCCTCGCGCCCCAACCCACAGCGAGCCATCTTCGCAAGAGCGCGAGTCCTGGCTCCGCACCTGGCTGCTTCCCGTGCTCGTGGTGTCCGTGTTATTGGCCGCCACTCGGTGGGATAGCCTTGCGTCGCCCCCTTCGCAAGAAAACATCATCGGTCCCTGGAAGGAAGCCGAGTTCCTCAACCGCACCAATTTCGACTATCACCGCCTATGGTACGAAGAGCCCGACTTTTCCTACGGCGGGTCGCGCACCTATGTCACCAGCGCACTGCCCACCATCATCGCCATCGGAATGCGCGTCTTGCCCGGCGGGCCTCCGCTGTTTGTGGTCTTCCACCTCATGTCGATCCTCAGTGCCGCGGTGACCGGCGTGGTGCTGTACCGACTGATCGTCAACCAAGTCGGCATCGTTGTCGGCCTGCTCACTTGCCTGGCACTCTTCACCAATCCCCTATTCAGCGGGCAGACCTACGTCACCGGAATGGAACTCCCCATGACCGCCTTCGGCATGGTCGCCATCTGGTTCGCGTGCCACCGCCGTTACTATCTCGCGGCCCTCGCCGCCGCGGCAGCGTTCTTCATGAAGGCCAGCGGCGTCGTGTTCTCTCTGGCGATCGTCACCTACTTATTGTTGCTGCTCATCAGCAATGCCCGCTTGCGAAAAGATCGCTCGCTGTGGGCAGCCCTGACTGTGAACGCATTTTTCACAGGCTTGCAATACGCCTTCATTCGAGCCGCGGGCAGTGTCAGCAATCTTCGCACCGAGGAAAATCAACACGCGGCCACCTCACTCAAGTCGCTACCTGTTTGGTCACCCGACTTTCTGCTAGTGGTGATCATCGCATTCACCGGCACCTTGCTGTGGTTGACATACCGGTTGTTGAAGACCCCCGTCGACGCCCAGGGGTCTGTCGGCGATGCCAGCCCCCTTTCCACGCTGAACGCAATACTGAACGAGAAGCCATTCTTCACGCTCGCGTGGATCGTTCTTTTAGGCGGTCTGGCAGCCAACGAAACCGTGGCTGTCATCCCGCGCTACCTCGTTTTTCTTCTTCCATTTCTTTACGCCGCTTTAGTATTGTTCTTGGCCCAACTCGTTTCCATCTGGTCGGTCGCGGTGATTGCCATGGCAGTTCTGATTTACTTCAACGTGATGAACACCCATGGCACGCTCTATCCCAGACTCGTCGACGTGTATGGTACTGAGTTGGCCCGCACCGGGGCCTTGATCGATCGTACGCACGAAGTCATCGACGATCATCAGGCGAATCTGGCCGCAATGCAGGCGCTGTCCTTACTTGCCCCGCACGAAGACGTCATTGCCGGACGACCCTACCTGGACTTCATCGCAATTCCCGAGATGGGTTACGCACAGACTGCGGCCACCGTGTATGGGGCGAATTCCTATCCCGACGAATTCACAAACGTCCACGACATCGACGAGATCCTCGATGACCCTCCGTTCAATCCCGTCTTTGTTGTGGTCGGCAACAGTTGGCTGCATCTCGACGGGCTGTTCGACATCCCACGCCCCGAGCCCGAGGACGAAATCCTCTTCACCGATGAGCAAGCTTCCCCCCTGGTCGTCTACAAGAAGTTCTGGCCGAACGGCCCTCACCTTGGGAAACGTGAACTGCAAGACTGGTATCTCGCCCGGATGTGGCCCAATGCCCGTGAGGTAGACCGTATCAAGTTCCGCATCTCGTTCCTCCGCGAGCGAGGTGATCTTGAACAGGCCACCGCAGAAGCCCAGCAGGCCCTGCAGGAATACCCCCGCGATTACCAGCTCCGCCAACTCACTTCCGCCTTGTTCTTCGAGCAAGGCCGCGTAGAAGAAGGCATCGATTGTTGTCTAGGCTTCCTCGATCGCGATCGGGAGCTTCGCCACCAAGACTACGACGCCGTGGTAATGCACCGATACGGTCCCGACGTGAAGCTCGAGTTGCTCATGCTGTCGACCTCCGTCGATCCCGCAGTTGAAACAAGCTACGAACAGGCCCTACATCTACTGCACGAAGGTCGCCTGACCGCCGCCGCCACCAAATTAGAAGAAGCCCTGCAGGCCGACCCCGACCACGTCACATCGCTGTTCTGCCTGGCCATGCTTCGCCAGAGCCAGTCGCAGCTAGAGGAAGCAACCACGCTCTTCGAACGCATCCTCAAGGTCACTCCCAATCATGGCCCGGCGGCGAAACACCTGGCGCAAATCGCGCTGGCCGAAAACAATCTCGAACTTGCCTTGAACATGGCCCAAACCGGCGTAGAAGCCCTGCCCGAAGACGCCCGTGCCTACCACACGCTGGGGCTGGTGTTGGCTCAACGAGACAACTACGACTCCGCGGCTCAAGCATTCGAACAGGCCGTGGCCCTCGACCCCACAAATGCAGAAGCCAAACGCGCGCTCGAATCCGCACGGCAAGAACAGGCGCTTCACTAAGTACCGGACGCCATGAACAACTCACCCGACAACTCTCGTCGCGACGCCCAGGAGGAGCCAATCCGTTCCTCCGGCAGTTGGTGGCGTTGGGGCGTGGCGTGGCTCGTACTAACCGCCGTGCTTTGCATCTGGCGGTTCGAGGTGATCGATTCACCGCCATACTGGGATTTCGGCCAGGGCCTGTGGTACGAAGCGAATTACCTGGCCGAAACCAACTTCGATTACCCACGGCTGTGGTACGAGGAAAAACGCCACTGGGAAGGCGGGGCCGACTGCTACCGCACCAGTGTCTTGCCCACCGTGGTGGCCGCACTCATGACGGTCGCCCCACCACCGTTCGCGCAAATCGCCTATCACGTGCTCACCTTCGCCTGCAGCAGTGCGATCCTGCTGCTCACCTTCGCGCTGCTGCGCCCCCGCGGAGGAACGGTGGCCGCCGCACTGGCCTGCCTGGCACTTCTCACCACCCCACTGTTCGGCGTTCAAGTCGACATGCTCGGGATGGAGATCCCAACCACCTTCTTCGCGCTGCTTGCCCTGTGGGGCGTGATGCACGAACGATTCACATTGGCCGCCATCGCCGGTACGTTGTCTTTTCTCATGAAAGCCGCCGGGCTGTTGGTCACCGTCACCACCTGTGCGTATCTGCTGGGGGTGTTACTCACCTCCCATCGAGAAGACGCCCCCGGCACCCGTCGCCGCTTCGCCTGGGGACTGGGTGTCAATGTCTTGGCTCTCATCTTCCAGTTCGCCCTCGTCCGTTGGGGTGGGCACATCGAAAACCAGATGGGAGCCACCCACAGCGCCGGAGGCCCAGGGCTATGGCTCACCACCTACGTCTGCCCCGACCTGCTACTACTCAGTCTCGCCGCACTGCTTATCTTCGTAGTCACCCTCATTCGACTTTATCAGCAGCAAGCCGGTCGTGTTCATGGTCTGCTGAATCGCCTCGTCGAGCTCACCCGAACCGCATTGCGGCAAGAGCCGATGCTCATCTGGTCGGCCGTGCTTATCGTTGGAGTCCTTCTCGCGGTCTCGCGGATCATCTTCCTCCCCCGCTACCTCATCCTCGGCGTTCCCTTCCTCTACATTAGCACCGTCAGCGTGCTGTTCGCCCGGCAGGGAGTACGCCGAGTGACCGTCTGTGCGTTGGTCATCATCACACTATTGAACTTGCTCAACACCCAAGGGCGGTTCTTCCCCTCGCTCGATTCGATGTACGCCAATGAATTCGGCGCGGATCCATCGCGGCTGGCCCGAACAGGCGCGTTTCTCGAACGCAGTTGGGAATACGAAGCCGATCACTTGGCCAACATTCGCGCCTGCCGCGCAATTGAAGAGCAATGTCAGAACGATCCCGTCTTCGCCCCCACGCCATTGCTGCACTATCTGTGCTTTCCAAGATTGGGCTACGTCAGTCGTCCTTTGCAAGGTTACGCGGTGAGCGACTTCACCCACTCCACCGATCGCTTCAAAGACGCCACGATACACGCCCCCGTCGATCACCCTCGCCAGCCCGTCTTCGTTTGGGTGGGCAACACCTTCTCGCTCGTCTCGCCCCGCTTCGATTTACAACCACCGACCGAGGGTGACGAAGTACTCTTCGACGACCAGCAACCATCATCCCTGGTCGTCTATCGCCGCACCATCGCCGCCGATGATGCCCAACCCCAGGGTCTGGAGCGTTGGTATCTCGACCGTATTTGGCCCACGGCCCCTCCGCTTTCCAGAACCGTTTATCGCGCGCACTACTACCTCGCCACCGATCGCCTCGATCGGGCCGTGGCCGAAGTCGAAGCCTTCACGCCCGAGCCCGAAACGAAAAACGCTCGCGAGTTGCTGATCGCCCAGTTTCAGCTTCGCCAGGGCAACTACTCCGACGCCCTCGATCGACTGCACACCTATCGCCAGGGCGGAGAGTCGCTCGCCGCCGCGTACGAAGCCCTGCGTCTGGAAGAACTCCACGCCGCGCTCGACCCCATGCCCACCAGGGAAGCGCTGGAAAACACACCGCCCGGCGAGCTCATCGAGCAGGCCACCGCCTATTGGCACCGGGGCTATACTACGGCTGCTTCGCAACTTCTGGAGCAGCTCGAAGACCAGAAACTTCCCCAAGCACAATTCTTACAAGGCATGCTGGCCCTGGAATACCTGCAGCTTGACGCGGCGGTGATGGCGTTCGAAAACACTCTCCAGCAGGCGCCCGAGCATGTGGGGGCATTGCTCTGCCTGGGCTGGTTGCGGCTCTACCGTGGGGAATACGCCGAGGCCGAAACCGCGTTCCGTAGTGTGCTCGAACAACAGCCCGAGCATGCCGGTGCCCAGCGGGGCTTGGGAATTCTCCAGGAAAGTGCGGGAAATCTGTCCCAAACCCTCGACACGCGCGATGCCGTCAGCGACAACGGGGCTCGCAGCGCCCCGCTTCGCATCAATCGAGGCTGATCGAAGCTCAGAAATCGCTGCGAAGAGATTCTCCTCTGTACGGAACCAGAGAATAAAACCATTCACTAAAGGAAGAGGCCCTTCATGAATTGCAACTTGATCCGCTCACTCTGCCTGACCCTCGCCGTAGTTCTCGCTGTTCCGGCCCTGGCCGAAGACAAGCCAGGCACGCAGCAACCAGCCAAGCTCGACAAGCAAGTGCCGGTGAAGCTCGACTACTTGCTTTACTTGCCTGAAGACTACGACCAACAGGATGAATGGCCGCTGGTGCTGTTTCTCCACGGGGCAGGCGAACGCGGGGACGACCTCGATCTGGTCACAAAGCACGGCCCGCCGAAGCTGATCAAGCGCGGGAAACAATTCCCGTTCATCGTCGTTTCACCGCAATGCCCCAGAAACCGCTGGTGGGATCCCTTCAAACTCACCGCTTTGCTCGACGATGTAGTCGCCACACATAAGGTAGATCCCGATCGCCTCTATGTCACCGGCCTCAGCATGGGTGGGTTCGGTTCCTGGGCGCTGGCCGCCGCCACGCCCGATCGCTTCGCCGCGGTGGCTCCCATTTGCGGTGGTGGCGAATCGCATTGGGCTCGACGGATCAGCGACATTCCGATTTGGGTTTTCCACGGTGCGAAAGATCCGGTCGTCTCCATCGACCGCTCGCAGGTGATGGTCGACGCCCTCAAGCAACGCGGTAGCAAGGTCAAGTTCACCGTCTACCCCGACGCCGGGCACGACTCGTGGACCGAAACCTACGACAACCCTGAGTTCTACGAGTGGCTGCTCGAGCAGAAGCGTCCGTCGAAACACGTCTCGTTGCTCACTCGTTAAATGCGTTTCGCGGCACTCGCTGCGCAAGGAGGGATTCACTCATGTCTGACTTGCATGTTCACGAAGATCTCGCCCGCATGATCACGGGCTACTGGTCTTCGCAGGCCATCTACGCGGCGGCCAAACTTGGCATTGCCGACCTGTTAAAAGATGGCTCCCGCACGGTGGAAGAACTGGCGGCCGAAACCGACTCGGACGCCGATGCCCTCTTCCGCCTCCTGCGGGCGCTGGCCAGTCTTGGCATTTTCGCCGAAGACGCGCCGCGGCAGTTCAAGCAGACTCCCATGTCCGCCCCCTTGCGCAGCGATGTGCCGGGCTCACAACGAGCTCTGGCACTCATGGCCGGCGACGCACAACACCTGGCCTGGGGCGAAATCCTCTACAGCATCAAGACCGGCAAGTCGGCCTACGAACACGTGCACGGCAAACCGCTGTTCAAGCATCTAGAAGAACAACCCGAGCGGGCCGCCGTGTTCGATGCTGCGATGACTGCGATTCACGGTCGCGAAACCCAGTGCATTCTGGAAGCGTACGATTTCTCTCAGGTGAACACTCTGGCCGACATCGGCGGTGGTAACGGCTCGAAAATCACGGCCATTCTCCAGGCCTACCCTAAGATGCAGGGCATGCTGTTCGACCTCCCGCACGTCGTAGAACGGGCGAAAGAACGCATCGACGAGGCAGGGCTCTCCGATCGTTGCCAACTCGTCGGCGGGAGCTTCTTCGAGAGCGTCCCTGAAGGGGCCGACACCTATCTCATGCGGCACATCATCCACGACTGGGATGACGAGCAGTCGATCATGATCCTCCGCAATTGCCACGCCGCCATGCCCAGCAATGGCAAACTGTTGTTGGTCGAAAGCGTGATCCCTACCGGCAACGAACCCTTCGCCGGCAAGTTCCTCGACCTGGCCATGCTGATTGTACCCGGCGGAAAAGAACGCACCGCCGAAGAATACCGCGCCCTCTACGACACCGCCGGCTTCGAACTCACCCGCATCGTAGAAACCAGCCACGAAGTAAGCGTGATCGAAGGTGTGCCGAAGTAACGACCGTCCAGGCGAGAAAACAACCTATGCACGACGAAGGCTCTTACGTGTGCGATGCCTGTGGCGAAGAGATCGTCATCCCACTCGATCTATCGCAGGGGGCTCAGCAGCAGTATGTCGAAGATTGCCCCGTCTGCTGTCGTGCGAATGTAATCCACATCGAAATCCACGAAGACGGTCAGGCCGACGTTTGGGCCGAAGCAGAGTAATGTCCGCCATGCACGAAAGCCTCTGCAACCGCTGCACGAACATGAAAGAAATCATCTCCGGCCGCGGCTCCCGCTTCCTCCTCTGCCAACTCCACCAAACAGATCGCCGGTTTCCCAAGTACCCACCCCAGCCAGTGATCCGCTGCGCAGGGTTTGTGGAGGGAGAAAAAGAGGAGTGAGACGGACTGTTACCCGGTAACAATCTTCTTACAAAACGCCCCTTCATTCTGCGTGGGGCGTTCGGGGCGGCCGGCGTGGAGATAGGTAAGTTGCATGTTGTCGATGCCCATCAGGTGCAGGATCGACGCGTGCAGGTCGTGCACGTGTAGGCGGTCTTCGATGGCGTACAGGCCGAATTCGTCGGTCGCGCCGATGGCCTGACCACCTTTCACACCGCCGCCGGCCATCCACATGGTGAAGCCCGTGGGATTGTGATCGCGTCCGTCGCCCTTCTCGCTCATCGGCGTGCGGCCAAACTCTCCGCCCCACACGACCAGTGTCGAGTCGAGCAGCCCGCGTTGTTTCAAGTCGGTGAGCAGCCCGGCCACGCATTTGTCCATTTGCCGGCACATGTTCGTGTGGTTCTTTTCGATCTGCGCGTGCGAGTCCCACTTGCTGCCCACACCGTGATAAAGCTGCACGAACCGCACGCCGCGTTCGACCAGCCGCCGCCCCAACAGGCAGTTGCGACCGTACACAGCCGTCTCTTTGTCATCCATGCCGTACAACTGCTGCGTGGCGGCCGTTTCTTGCGAAAGATCAATCGCCTCGGGCGCGGCCGCCTGCATGCGAAACGCCAGTTCGTAACTGAGAATCCGCGCGTCCAGCTCCGACTGCTGCTCACGGGTAGCTGCGTGACGACGATTCAGTCGATCGAGTAACGCCAGCTTGCCCTGCTGTTGGGCTTCAGTCACGCCCTTGGGAGTATTCAAATTACGAATCGGCGGCGTACCGTTCTTAAGCGGAGTACCCTCGTAAGCCGCCGGCATGAATGCGGTGCCCCAGTTCCGAGGGCCATTCACCACCGAACCGTCGTTGTCTTGCAGCACGACGAACGCCGGCAGGTTCTCATTCTCCGAGCCCAACCCGTAAGTGACCCAGCTCCCCAGCGAAGGCCGCCCCGCCAGCGGCGTGCCGGTATTCATCTGGCACACCCCGCCAGCGTGATTGATTCCATTGGTCCAACAACCACGCAGCACGGCAATGTCGTCCACACACTTGGCCGTATGCGGCAGCCAGTCAGAAACCCACAGGCCACTCTCACCGTGTTGTTTCCACTTGCGTTTCGATTCCAACAGCGGCGACTCGGCCTCACCCATCGCCGTGACCGGCCGCTTGAAACTCGCCGGCAGCGACTTGCCCGCGTGTTTTTGCAGCTCGGGCTTGGGGTCGAATAGGTCGATATGACTGGGGCCACCCTCCATGAACAGGAAGATCACGCTCTTCGCCGTGGCCGGGTGATGCGCTGTTTTGGCCGCCAACGGGTTCTTCAACCCCGCCGCTTCCGCAGCCCGAGCGTCGTCGCCGGCGAACAACCCGGCCAACATCGCCGCGCCAAACCCACCGGCCGACTGCATGAGAAAATTGCGTCGGGCGTGAAGGCCAGAAGACAGATCGCGTTGTGAACGGTTCGCAGGCATCGCACTCAGTCTACGTAAAGGAATCCGTTGGAGTTGAGCAGGCCATGACAGAGGTCAACCAGCGCGGTAAACCTCGCATCGTTACCTTGCTTGCCGGTTTTCGGAGCTTGCTCGTCGAGGAACGCAACCAATTCGGCCACTTCTTCGGCCTCCGGCGTTCGGCCCAATGTCGAACGGTAGGCCAACGTGACGGCCGCCTCATCATCGCCCTCGCTACTCACTCGCTTGGCCAGGGCCTGGGCCCGCGCGAACAGCCAGTCGCCGTTGATCATCAACAACGCCTGCGTGGGCGTGGTCGTAATGTTCCGCCCGGGCGTGCTCTTGATCCCGTCGGGCAAATCGAACGCGGCCAACACGGGGTCGGTCGAGTTTCGCTTCATTCGCGTATACACACTCCGCCGGGGCGTGGAAGCCGAAACGCTCGGCCCACCGGCGTCCAGCTTCAACTCGCCGGAAACGGCCAGCGCCGCGTCGCGAATCTGTTCGGCTTCCAGGCGGCGAATGTCGCGTCGCCAGTGCAGCATGTTTCCGGAATCGATCTTTTCGCACTCAGCCGCGTTCGGGTGGGTGGCCGAAAGCCGATAGGTGGCCGAGTTCATGATCAGCCGGTGCATGGCTTTGAAACTCCAGCCATCTTCCACAAACCGCACGGCCAACCAATCGAGCAACTCCGGGTGGCTCGGCGGTTCGCCCAAATGGCCGAAGTCGCTGGACGAGGGAACCAAGCCCTGGCTGAAATGATGCTGCCAGATACGGTTGGTGATCACCCGCGTGGTGAGTTGATTATCGGGGCTGCCAATCCATTCGGCCAAAGTCGACCGCCGCCCCGTGGAGTTCTCGGCCGCCTGATCACTGTTAATCTCCGCCGGCCCCGGGGCAATCACCGACAAGAAGCCCGGCGCGATCGAAGTCTCACCGGTCACCTCCACCAACAGCGTCTCGGGGGTCACCGTCGACACATCGCACACGCTCATCACCGGCGGCAACTGCTTGGGCTTCAAGTGATCGAACTCGGCCAACTGCTTGTACAATTCCTGAACACGTTGCCACTTCTCGTCTTTGCTTTTTCGCACGCGATCGCGGTAGGCGTCGTAACTGTCCTGTACCTGGCGATCGACCAGGTAGGCCAGTTGATGCTCCAACTGCGAACGCTGCTCAACCGGCTTCGCCATGATCGCTTGAATATCGGGTGGGAACATGCCGATCTTGCTGGCCGCTTCGCGTTCCATTCCAGGACGAAGGACCTCTTCGATCTGCGCGCGAATTTCGGCCGTCGCTTCTTCCCACTTCGACATAGCTTGCTGATGCCGCTTCCGTTCTTCCGGCGTGGCGGCCACCGTATCGTCACGGGGCAACAACGGAGTAAAGAACGCCTGCAGGCGGAAGTAATCGTCCTGCAAGATGGCGTCGAACTTGTGATCGTGACAGCGGGCGCATCCCATCCCCAACCCTAGGAACACATCGCCCGTGGTGTCGGTGATGTTGTTGAGGATGTCATCCCACTGCGTTCGCGCGTCACGCTGATTGTGTTCATAAAGGTAATGCCGCAAGTAACCGGTGGCGGCCAACGCGTCGGGGTCGTCGGGCGCCACTTCGTCGCCGGCCAACTGTTCGAGCACGAACTGCGGATACGGCTTGTCGTTGTTGAACGCGCGAATCACATAATCGCGATACCGCCAGATGTGCGGGCGCGTGGCGTCCTGCCGAAAGCCATCGCTCTCGGCGTACCGCACCAGGTCGAGCCAGTGCCGTCCCCACCGCTCGCCATACTGCGGGCTGCTAAGCAATTGATCGACCAACCGCTCGAACGCTTCGGCCGTCGGGGCCGGGTCGTTCTCAAACGCGTCGATCTCCTCCGGCGTCGGCGGCAGTCCGACCAAGTCGAAGTGCGCCCGACGAATCAATTCCACCCGCGATGCCTCGGGGGCCGGTTCCAGACCTTCGCGCTGCAAGCGATCGTAAATGAACTGATCGATGGGGTTGGTCGTCCAGCGAGGGTCATCCACCTCGGGCACAGCCCAATTCTGCACCGGCTGGAATGTCCAGAACGAACGGTCTTCTTCGGTGAAGCCCTTTTCCTTCGCAGGTGGTGGCAAATCGTTCGGATCGGCATTCGGCCAAGGCGCGCCCATCGCAATCCACTTGACCAGCACGTCGATATCCGCGTCGGCCAACTTCCCCGAGGGCGGCATCTCGTACGACTCGTACCGCACGGCCTCGATCAGCAGGCTATCATCCGCCTCGCCGGGAACGATCGCCTCGCCGCTATCGCCGCCGACCAGGATCGAGCCCAAGTTATCGAGCCGTAACCCACCCTTTTGTTTCTCAGCCCCATGACATTCTTGGCAATGCTCGACCAGCAGCGGACGTACCTTCGATTCAAAGAAACGGACCTGTTCCGGAGAAGGCGTCTCGGCTGCAACCGCGATCGACGCAACGCTAGCCAGCAGCGCGAGGGAAAACGAAGTTCGCAGCAGGCTTGCCATAGGAAGGATTGGCTCTTGAGGAAGTAGCAGCGGGGGGCCTCCATCTTACCGCAATGGTGGCCGATGCCCAAATTCCGCGTCAAACTTTGCCTCAAGGGCACTTCTGGAACCGATTCAGGCCACACGCGAGCGAATCGCTCACGCGTCCACGAACTGAAACGCGTACAAATCCGCGTCTTTCAACTCGAATCGCAGCCGCACTGGCTGGCCGCTGAGCTTGGAGACATCGCTGCCGGTTTTCCAGGCGACCTGACGATCGACCGTGTCGCCAAACAGTGGAGCACAATCGTCCAGCGTGAAGCCAGGGATGGGCGACCCGCTGGGGTCTTGCAACTCCACGCGCACCCCGCCGGCGGCCGAAGTGGCGAAGTTCAGGTGCAAGGCATTCCCGTCGAACTTCACCGGCTTGGTAACCAGTTCGCCACCCTGCATCGGTGCATGAGTTGAAACGAAACCGTCGAGCCGTAACGTGTACCGCCGCAGCGCGCTACCTTCGCCCGTCCAATAGCTCTCGCCGGCATACAGCGACAATTCATCGGCCGCCCCTTGCAAAGCCGAAGGCGTCTCGACCACGTGCCAGCCGATGTACTGATGCCCGTAGTTCCAACTGCCCGGGCGTTCCGGCCCTGGCGGAAGGAACGCTTCGTTCCAGCGTTGGAAGTGCTGCCCGTCGCGGCTCGACATCAACAGCCCCTCGGTTACCGCCGTGCCATATCGATCGGTCGACGACGACCGCAGCTTACGATGCTCCCGCTCGGGCAATGCCTCCATCGAGGCGGACCACCCCCGGTCTACATAGCGCGTGGGAAAGCCCACCAACAAATGCGGCGCTCGTGGGTACGGCTTGATCTGATTCGTATAAAGCTGTTCCGACGGCGAGTCTTCGTACGTCAGGTCCGTCCACTGGCTCCAGTTCAACAGGTCGTCGGAAGTAGCCGTGCGGATGGCCCGATGCCCGGCTGGCTGCCACTCAGAGTCGGTCGTCTTCCCCGCGGTGAAGATCCGCCAGTATGCCCGATACTTCCCAATGTTCGGGTCCCAGAACGCCAGGTTCTGCGAGTCGAATGCGCCGAGCCCGTGCAGAATCGGCTCATCACTCATCGGCACCCAGTGCAAACCATCGGCCGACTTGAATGGCAACAGGCCGTTGGGCGAGGACGAACGAAAGATGGCCTTGTACCGTGCATCGTCGGCCGCGTTGGGGTTCTCGTCTTTGAAGATCGCCGGATGGCCCGCATCGACGCTGATCGTTTCACCGCCCGGGCCGGTCATCTTCCCGCTGGCGACCACAATGTTGTTGTCCTTCGAGCCCTCGAATTCCACCAACCCCAACTCAGGCTTACGCCACGTAATGCCGTCATCACTCTCGGCATAGCAGCAGAACAACGGATGCCGCCCCGTGTTGAGCTTGCCCTGCCGCGCGTCGAGGTGCCACGCCTTGTAGTACATGCGGTACTTGTCGCCGTCGCGGAACACGCTGTGGTAGCCGCTGCCGGTTCCTTCCCAGGGGGCGTCGTGTACTAATGACAACTCCCGCGGAACCGGATGATGCAACCGTCGCTCAGCCGCACCATCAAGCCGCTCGATCAGCACATCGTCGAGAAACAACTCCCGCCGCGAACCGATATCCATCGCCTGTTCCCCATCCGCTGCACGGGCCGTTTTAAGCAAGCCCGAGGATGCAAACGTTCCCATCGCCGCGGCAGAAAGCGTGCACTCCAAAAACTGTCTTCGCGAATGCCCACACGGCGTGAAGCGGAAGTTGCTCATCGAAGGGCTCCTTTAGTAATGCGTGTGCTGAACTCGGCGAGTGGTCTACTCCTGCTCTTCTTCCACCGTGCCGGGGTCCCAGATCGTGGCCATGATCCTGCGGTAAGGGCTGTCGCTGGGGTAGTCGTAATAAAGCGTCACGATCTTCCCGTCCGGGCGTTGCAGTGTGCGGGGATAACCCAGGTCGCGGCCGCCCCCGTCGGTTTGCAGCACGAACGGTTCGCTCCATGTCTCTCCCCCATCGCTGCTAAACCTGGCCTGCATCTCGAACGGGGCTTTGCGAACGCCATAAGTCAGGCACAACCGACCATCTTCCAGTTGGATCAACGCAGGCGGGTTCCCCTCGCCGTTCTCGAGCACGGCGTCTTCAACGAACTCCCAACTCTTACCGTTGTCTCGCGATTCCCAAACGTCGATCCAACGATGATGTTCTTCACCTTCGCCCTCACGGCATCGTCGGGTCATCACCAGATGATCCTCCGACAACCGCACGGTCGAAGGCATGATCGAAAACCCAACCGGCTCGGGGCCCACAAACGAAAGAAACTTCCAGGTCAGGCCCCCGTCGGTCGTGCGTCCGCAGAACACCCGACCCTCTTCGCCGTTCGATTTCGAGGCAGTAAGAAACACGTGGCAATCGTGCTTCCCATTCACGATGTAGTCCGATCGGGCCATCACCCCCGGCTGCCCGAACGACGGCACGATGAACGGCCCCTCCCAGTTGTGCCCCCGGTCGTACGAGTAATACAGCCGCGACTGACCGCCGTGGATGTTGTTGAACCGCATCGTCATGCAGAAGTCGGGATGCGTGAAGTCAATCGGCTCGGTGATCGGCAGCGGCTCGTGCTCGGTATGCTTGGGGTCCATCGTCCCATGCCGCATACCGCCGTAGTTCACAAGCATGCCCTTCTCGGCCGGGTACTCCATGGTCCACGTCTCGCCGCCATCCAGACTTCGGGCCAGCACATGATGCTCAGGCTTGTCGCGATCGATGTTGTGTCGCTCCTCACCCAGGTTCTTATGAATGCCCGTGCTGAAGCCCACGAGAATCTCGTCGCCCCACATCCACATCCCATGGTTGGCCGGCCACCCGCCGAACATTCCCTCTTCACCGTACACCTTCACATGCCGCTCGACGGTAGGTTCCGACGACCGACCAACATTCAGCAAACAGGCGACAACAACGCCGGCCATTACCAATGAACTCATTCGCATATGAAAAACTCCCGCTGTGGAATCGTTGATGTATTTGTGAATCACTCGAAACGCGATTCGTTGTAGCTAGGAAATGTCCGGCCACTGCTTCCGCCAGCCGATACGGTCGAGAACCCAATTGAACTCCCGCCGCTCCACGTCGCTCATCGGGGCGGAAGCCGGCGGATCAAGCACCCGCGGGCAATCCATCACCCCCCGGGCATGCAGCATGGTCTTCAGCAGTTCCTCAGGGTAATCGAGATAAAACCCAAGGTAGGGCAGAATCTGCTGGAAATAAATCGTTTCGGCCCGTTCATGTTCACCCGCCAAATAGGCCTGCACCGCACCGCCGTGCAGCTCCAGGGCTTCGGTGCCCGTCATGAACGCCGTCACGCCCAGCCGCAACAAGTGAATCAAATGCCGCCCGCCGGCTCCACCAATAACCGAGAGTTGCCCCTCGGAGAGTTCAAGCAAGGCGGCCGTCTTTGTAATGAACCCGGTGCCCTCGGCCTTGATGTGATCGATACGCTCGATCTCGCGCGACATTCGCCACAACAAGTCGGCCGAAAGCACCGCAGAACTGGCCGGCGTGTCTTGCACGATGATCGGCAACTGGGTCGCGCGCGACAGCGCCTCGTAATACGCCATCGCCCCGGCAGCATCGGGCATGTTCACGTAGGGCAGGGCGGCCATCACCAGGTCGGCCCCTAGCGTTTCGGCCTCGCGAGCGTAACCCAGCGAAGTCTCCACCCCGGGGGCGGTCACCCCGATGAACACCGGCACCCGACCGGCAACTTCATCGACGATGATCTCGATTAATCGTCGTCGATCGATATCGGGAATCTTGTGAAACTCCGAAGCGATGCCGAAGTGTCCGATGGCCACCGCCCCACACTGCAAACAGTATTGCACCAGCCGCCGCTGGCTCGCTTCGTCAATCGCCCCCGCCTCGTCAATCGCGGTCGGCATGATCGGCATCATGCCCCGGAAACCTACGTTCGAAGATGATTGAGAGCTGGTCGTCATCAAGAATCCATAAGTGGGCGGGCCGTGATCAAACCGGGATTATAACGACGGAAAAGACGAGATGTCGAAAAGCCAAACGCAGAGCCCCACAGGGTGGTCCAGCCGCTCCGGCTGGATCGGCGCAGCCGACAAGATGCCTTAGGCAACGCTAAACCCTAGCCAGCAAATCCACCCTCGGAAAAGAAGGCCGCTCCCCAAAGCGATTCACTGAACCCAACCACACCGGCATACCCCACGTTCACTCAAAGCATCCTGTCGACTCCGTCGACCCAGCCGGCGCGGCTGGGCCACCCTGCGATACCGAAAATTTCCAGCCGGCTCCCGCGGCGGTTAGGATATCCACTCTGCGAAATGTCCCGCACAGCTCTCTCATCGGTGGGAAGAATGATCGTTCGACTACACATTATTGCCGCATTGTGTTTGCTTCTCGCTACAGCCCTCACTCATTCGGGCGCCCGGGCCGCGGAACGTCACCCCAACATCGTCGTCATCTATGCCGACGACTTAGGCTATGGCGACGTCTCCTGCTACAACCCCGAGCGCGGGAAGATCCCCACGCCGAACATCGATCGACTCGCCGCCGAGGGAATGCGGTTCACCGACGGGCATTCCAGCTCCGGCGTTTGTTCCCCCTCGCGATACACCCTGCTCACGGGCCGTTACCACTGGCGAACCCGGCTTCAGCAGGGCATCGTCAGCCCTTGGGAACGCCCGCTAATCGACGACGACCGGCTGACCGTCGCCGAGCTGCTTCAAGAACACGGCTATCGAACAGCCTGCATCGGTAAGTGGCATCTCGGCTGGGACTGGCCGATCAGCGAAGCCCAACGCCCCCACTTCGAAGCGCCCCGTGTGCGGAGAGACATCGACGACGAGGCCACCGACTCGCAGCGCGAAGCCTGGCGAGCCGTGTTCTCCCAGCCCATCGCCGGCGGTCCGATCACGCGAGGGTTCGATTCGTACTTCGGTACCGACGTGCCTAACTGGCCGCCGTACTGCTTCATCGACAACGACCGAACCGTCGGCATCCCCACCGAATACCTGCCCGCCCAATTGTTCAAGAACCGCCTGGCCAGCCGACAAGGCCCGGCACTCGAGGGCTGGCAACTCGAACCCATCCTGCCCACGTTGGGCGAGCAAGCCAGTGCGTTAATCGCCGACGCCGCACAACAGCCCGAACCGTTCTTTATTTATATGCCACTCACCGCGCCCCACACTCCGTTGGCAGTAACCGACCAGTGGAAAGGCCGCAGCGGGCTGGGCATCTATGCCGACTTCGTCATGGAAACCGACGCCGTGGTCGGGCAAGTGCTCGAAGCCATCGCAACCAGCGGGGCGACTGACAACACACTCGTCCTGTTCACCAGCGACAACGGCTGCTCGCCCATCGCCGGCGTGGCCGACCTGGAACGTCAGGGCCACTTCCCCAGCGGACCGCTGCGAGGTTACAAGTCCGACGTGTGGGAAGGCGGGCACCGCGTGCCGTTCATCGTTCGCTGGCCCGGCGTGGTGCAGCCCGAGAGCACCTGCAATCAACTGGTGCATCAAGCCGACCTCATCGCCACCTGCGCTGCGATCGTCGGCAGCGAACTCCCCGAAACCGCCGGCGAAGACAGCGTGAGCCTGCTGCCGCTGCTGAAAGGCAACGACCAGCCAACTCGCGAGACGGTCATCAATCAATCGAGCCACGGCCTGCTCTCCTTCCGCCACGGCCCCTGGAAGCTCATCCCCGGCCCCGGCTCCGGCGGCTGGAGCAAAGAAACAGAAGACCAGCCCGCCCAGCTCTACAACCTGGAAGACGACCTCGCCGAAACAACCAACCTCTACAACGATAAACCCGAACTCGCCGCCAAGCTGATGCACCAGCTAGAACAACAAATCCAACAAGGCCGCAGCACCCCCGGCCCCGCCCAAGAGAACGATGTAACCGTGAACTGGAAACGGTTCATGAAATAAAGAGCAGGGCGAATTACCAGGTAGGGTGCCGTCAAGCGTAGCGAAGACGCACCTTCTTGGAACCGAAGCCGTTTCTTGAACTAACAACCTCAACAGGCCTTCACGCGTGACCCTCGACATCCATGGACGAACGCTCATCGCTCTGAACCCTCGCGGCATTAGCTTGCGGCGATCTCGGGCGGTAGAGGCGATCGAATCGCTGGGGCAACATCCGCTGGTCGAGGTGTTGGAAACCGAGTACGCGGGACACGCGGGCGACTATTGTCGAGAACGGGCCAGCGAATTCGACAAGGTGATTGCCGTCGGCGGAGATGGCATGTTCATGGACGTGATCAACGGAGTGGTCGATGCCGATGTCGCCGTGGCCGCCTATCCCGCGGGTACGGCTTGCGACTTCGTGAAAGCCGCACCGGGTTACCCCGCCCAGTTACCGCAACTGCTGGCTTCGCGGCGCACCATGCCGATCGACTTGGGCCTGGTCACGTTCACCGACGGCTCAACCCAATACTTCGTCACCGAAGCCGGCGTGGGGCTCGATGCGGCCTGCGTGCATTACATCCCCGGCTGGCTGAGAAAGATCAGTTCGAAACGGGCCTACGACGTCAGCGCGGTGCGCGCCCTCTTCTCGTACAAGCCGTTCGAAGCCCGCGTGAAACTGGACGATGAGAGCTTCGACTTCGCCCAACTCCACCTGATGGCCGTTTGCAGTGCCCCGTACTTTGGCGACGGAATGCCGATCGCGCCCGACGCAAAGATCGACGACGGGCAGTTCCACGTCTACGCCGTCGGCAACGTCACTCGGTGGGACATCGTGAAGAACCTGACGGCCCTGCGGAAGGGAAAGCACATCGAGCACCCCCAGTCGCTGTACCGCGCCTGCAAGCGCGTCGAGATCGAAGCCGACCGCCCGTTGGAAATGTGCTTCGACGGCGACCTCGTCACCCACACGCCGCGCACGTGGGAAATCCAACCCGGCCGGCTGAGGTTGATCGTGCCGGAGAAAACGTAAGGTTGGCGAACATCAATCCCGGGTGGCCCAGCCGCTCCGGCTGGGTCGCCGCAGGCGACAGGATAACATGATCGAAACGCAACTAAACTGCAAGGCTGTCCCTTTAGGCAGACTTCACTCCCAAGGGAACAGCTTCTGGAATCCCAACCGTAAGCAACCACCGGAAAACTTCCTCAAGACTTATGGTTGAGCGGCCCCAACTGCAAGCCAAAGCCTCGCCGCTTGTCCCCACCCCACTCAAAGCATCTTGTCGACTTCGTCGATCCAGCCGTCGCGGCTGGACCACCCTCAGATGCATGTGGGTTTCGCTACTTCACTTCCCACGTTTCGCCCGAGGTGAACAGCTTCTGCAGGTCGCCCGCACCGCGTTTGCTGCGATCGAGTTCGACCTGATCGTTCACCCGGTTATTGTACACGGGGGCGTCGATCGCGCGGAACACGCCGATCGGCTCGGGGAAGTCGGGCTGTCGCATCCGGCTCAACAGGTAAGCCAGCGACGGCTCGGGGGCCTTCTCGTCGTGGAACAGCAAGTCGTCTTCGGTAATGCCTTTGCCCAGCTCGACAATCTCCGGGTCCATCCCGTGCAGGCGGATACCCTTCTGACCGTCTTTGCCAAACACCAGCGGCTTGCCGTGCTGCAGGTCGAGCACGGTATCGCTCTTGGTGGCCTTGTCGGTGGCGTAGCTGTAGGCACCGTCGTTGAAGATATTGCAGTTCTGATACACCTCGACGAACGACGTGCCTTGGTGGCTGGCCGCCCGCTCGAGAATAGAAACCAGGTGCTTGGTGTAAGTGTCGATACTGCGTGCCACGAAGGTCGCTTCGCAACCCAGGGCGATCGACAGCGGACGCAAGGGATTGTCAGGCGACCCCATCGGCGAGGTCTTCGTCACTTTGCCCAACGGCGAGGTCGGCGAGTACTGACCCTTGGTCAAACCGTAGATGCGGTTGTTGAACAAGATGATGTTGATATCTAGGTTCCGTCGCAGCACATGCATCAGGTGGTTACCGCCGATGCTCAAGGCATCGCCGTCGCCGGTGATCACCCACACGTCGAGGTCGGGCCGGCTCACCTTCAAACCAGTGGCCACCGCGGGAGCACGACCATGAATGGAGTGCATGCCGTAGGTGTTCATGTAGTACGGAAAGCGGCTCGAGCAGCCGATGCCGGAGATGAAGACCGTCTTTTCGAGCGGGGCCTCCATCTGGGCCAGGGCCTTCTTCATTTGGGCCAGAATCGAATAATCGCCGCACCCAGGACACCAACGAACGTCTTGATCGCTGGCGTAGTCACCCGGCTTCAGGACGTTGAGTTCCGTACGTGTACTCATTTGTGTGTAGCTCGCTGTCGTAGTAGCTCGACCAATGCGTGAAGCCGTGTGGTTATTGGCTCACTAGGTTTTCAATTTTCTGCAGAACTTCGCGAACATGGAACGGTCGGCCTTGCACCTTATTCAACCCCACCGCGTCAATCAGGAATTTAGACCGAATTAGCATCCGCAACTGACCCATATTCAACTCGGGGATCAGCACGCGTTTGTATTTCCCCAACACCTCGCCCAGGTTGCGGGGGAAGGGATTGAGATAACGAAGATGAGCATGGGCAACGGCCAGACCCGCCTTTTGTGCCATGTGCGTGGCCGTGGCACAGGCACCGTAAGTACCGCCCCAGGTCAACACCAGCAAGTCGCCCTCTTCGGGGCCATCCACCTCTAGCAGCGGAGCATACTTCGCCACGTTGGCGACCTTCTGCGCCCGCAGGTCGGTCATGTGCTGGTGGTTCGCCGGATCGTAACTCACGTTGCCAGTGATGTCTTCTTTTTCGAGCCCACCCAGGCGATGCATCAGCCCGGGCGTACCCGGCACCGCCCAGGGGCGGCTCAGGTCTTCGTTGCGTTCGTAAGGCTTGAAGGGCTCCTCGCCGTTCGAACCACCTTCAGGATGCTTCACCGGGATCGGCGGCAGTTCGTTCACGTTCGGAATCGCCCACGGTTCGGCACCGTTGGCCAGATAGCCGTCGGAAAGAATCATCACCGGAATCATGAACCGCGTGGCGATCTCCCACGCTTCTTGAGCGATCTCGAAACAGTCGGCCGGGCTCTGCGGAGCCAGAATCGGCATCGGGCATTCGCCGTTGCGTCCGAACATGGCCTGCAGCAGGTCCGACTGTTCGGTCTTCGTCGGCAACCCCGTGCTGGGGCCACCGCGTTGCACGTCGATAATGATCATCGGCAACTCGGTCATCACGGCCAGAGCCATGCCTTCGCCCTTCAGTGCAATGCCCGGCCCGCTGGAGCAGGTGACGGCCATCGCCCCGCCGAACGCGGCCCCGATGATCGAAGTAATGGCGGCGATTTCGTCTTCGGCCTGGAAGGTCCGTACGCCGAAGTTCTTGTGCTTCGACAACTCATGCAGAATGTCGCTGGCCGGCGTGATCGGATACCCGCCCACGAACATCTCGCAACCACTCCGCTGAGCGGCCGTCATCAGCCCGAAGGCAATTGCCTGATTGCCTGTGATGTTGCGGTACGTGCCCGCGGGCAATTGGGCCTTCTTCACGTTGTAGTGGCTAACGAACGCCTCGGTGGTGTCGCCGTAGTTGTAACCGGCTTGCAGCGTGCGACGGTTCGCTTCGGCCACCGCCGGCTTACGACCGAACTTGTCGTCGATGAACCGCATGGTCGGCTCGAGCGGACGGTTATACAGCCAGAAGATCAGCCCCATCGCAAAGAAGTTCCGGCACCGGTCCGACTCCTTCGTCCCAAGCCCCAAGCCATCGACTGCCAATCGCGTGAGTTTGGTCACTTCCACGGGGAAGAGCTGATAGTTGTCCAGGCTGCCGTCTTCCAACGGGTTGTTTTGATAACCGGCCAACCGCAGACCGTTGCGATCGAACGCCTCGCTGTTGACGATCAACACGCCGTTGTCGACCAGATCGTTCAAATTGGTCGACAGGGCCGCCGGGTTCATGGCCACCAGCACATCGACTTGATCGCCCGGGGTGAAGATTTCTTCGCTGGCAAAGTGAATCTGGAAACCGCTCACGCCGGCCTTCGTACCACGCGGGGCGCGAATCTCCGCCGGGAAGTCGGGGAACGTGGCCACGTCGTTACCCACCAGCGCCGAAGTCGACGTGAGTTGGGTACCGGCCAGTTGCATACCATCGCCAGAGTCGCCGCAGAAGCGAACCGTTGCGGAAGGAAGATCGATAAGCGGTTTCGAAGAGGTCGAGGCCATTCGTACTACCAGGCTATTGAGCAGGTCGGGCAGCGACTAAGCTGCGTTTGTTTGGGTGAGCGTGCTAAAGGTATCCAGCGTATCGCCTGCAACCGTTTCTACACGTTGCGGCGAAGGAAGGTTCACAGCGCGGATTACTCGTTCCTTGAATTCAGCGGGAAGCAGACCATCCACCGCCACACGGGCGTAATGGTTTCTGCCACAAAGCGATCGGCAATCGGATACACCCCACGCATATCCAGACATTGAGGCCCGTCGACCGAAGGGTCGCGTAGTGCGAATTTGCCGGTTTCTCGCCGGCTTCGAGCGAGCCACTTCTCGGCCCACGGAGTCCCCAGATACCACCGCACTGCCGTCTTTACTGTCGCCGCAGGAGGGTTACAGTCACCACGATGCAGCACATCGACCAGCGACCATAACGCGAGGAAGGTGTAATCTGTACCGATTCTAACATCTATATCGGCTGGGGGGCAGTGAGACTAACGGTTTTTTCAGCCTGCTCAGACGATTTCTTAGCCCGGTTGTCCCCGGACACACACCGCTGTCACCAACCGCCCGGCTCAATCCTCCGCCGGGGGATTCAAGCCAGCACCACCATAGAACTGCTCGAGATTGATACCGCCCTTGCGCTGTTCGTCTTCCAAGAATTTCAGCCGGGTTTCGAGCCGCTCGACCCGCCGTGATAGCGAGGCCGCGATGTCACGCGTCTGGTCCACCGGTTTCTGTCTTGGAACCCCCGGGTAGTCCAACTGCCGCTGCATGGCCGAGAACAATAACAGCGGCTCTTTCCCGCGATTCGCCAGGGCAATCTGCCCCTCTTTCTGCCCGAACAATACGACCGTATCGGCTTCCTCTTCGGTCGGCACATGCCCCCGCTGCGACTGCTTCACCCCGTAATATTCGCTGCGGACATAGATCAAACTGGCCAGGTCGATGATGCCAATCTGCCGTCGTACGGTCAGCACCCACTGCTTCCAGGCCTCGTCGAACAGCGGATCTTCGGCCACGGCCGCCAGCCCCCGGTCGTAACCCAAGCGGTTCCGGCAGAGGGCCTCAAACTGGTAGAGAAACACACCCTGCCTTTTGGGGGATTCTGCCCGATAGGCCGCATCGTGCTGCAGAATACTCAGCCCCACGCGAATGTCGAACTGGCTGCGTTCGTTCTCGGCCTCGCTCACCACATAGGTTTGAAACGCCGTGAAGTAGTGCCCCAACTTGGCCATCGCCGGGGCCATTCCGCCGGAGTGCCGCAGCTCCGAGGCCATATAGTCGATCGCCAGCGGAAGTCGGGTCGATGCCAACGCCTCTTCCCGCAACATCGCCAGAATGTCCTGCGTGGCCATGTTCTGGTCCATCCGTTCGACCAGCGAACGGAAGAAGTGCGCCTGCTCGATGTATTCCTCTCGCTCCAGAACCATGAACCACGTACCTGTGCCGGGTGTCGCTACCAAGGCGGGGCAAGGCATGCCACGCGAAGCCTCGTCGGTGCTACCGAACGAATCGTTGCAATTTCGCACGTTACCGCCCTGCAGCCCCCACTCGGTCGAGGGAACTCGGTGGCGGGGGTGCACCGCACGTCTATAATACCTTGTGCGGATTCCTTTCCCCACGTCGAAACATCGACCGGGCCTCGCTTCGGAAATCCGAAGCCCCGGAAACCTCTTTATTTTGCTCCCAACAAGGCGGACAGTTCGTGTCAGGTGAATTCTCTACCATCGAAGAGGCCGTCGACGCCATCGGTCGCGGCGAAATCGTCATCGTTG